GAGGTGTTTCGTTTTCAAGTTTTGTATTTATCACATTTAAATTAGTTAAAACATTTATATTAAATCGAAAAAACAGATTTTAAACTTGAAGAGTTCCAAGTTAATAGTATTTTTGCAGAAGTACTGTTACCCATTGAATGTAGTTATTATTTCTTTTGTTGCCTAAAAATCCACAAATCACTTTTTTAAGAGCTTCCCAAGTTTCCTTTTCTTACCCCTTTAAAACTTTGTCAAATGCACGATTCTTCATAAGTTGACGTTTTGGTGGCCCAACAAAAATACACTCTTTAAACTTTGCATCACTTATTTTTGGAAATTTGTTTCTTAAATACCTAAAAGCCTGTCCTTCTTTGTTCATACCATTAACAAAATTTTTCATTAAATCCAACTTAATATATAATGGTGGAAGAAGAATATCTTTTGGATCCACGAGTGGTTTCGCACTAAAAAATTTTTCATCTATCTTGAGATTTCTTGCAGACCTGTCTTCTTTAATATAATGTGAACTTCTCTCTCTACTTTCCTACATACTCAAAAAGCAACAGTATTTAGTATACCCTAATTGAATTCCTACAAGTATAACAATGACTTTTAGATTACCACATGTTTTCCATTTGTGTTCATTGTAACTAATTGAGTTCGGGAAAAACTTTCATGTGTAAATAAGCCTCTTTCATGGCGAATAGGAACAGAAGGAAGATGGTTTTCATTGTGCAGTAATACAGCTTTTAAGTTTAGCTTAGATGAGTTTATGAATAATCTCCATTTAGTTGGATTATAGTTCAAATTAAGCCTATACATTAATCCAAAGACATCAATGCAAACAACAAGATTATTTTTCTTTTAAAAAAAAGAAAGCAGATTTTGCTGCCGTTTTCTGCAACTTTGACATCAAATTGGAGAAGATTTCACTGCGCTTTAGCCTAACAGGGTCACTTAATTCTGCTTGACTTAATCTGTGTGGCACATCAATTGTTAACACAAAATCAGGATCATTAGATGTGGAAGGCTTGTTTTCTTATTTTTCTTCAATTTCTACTTCATTTCTGCTTTCATTTTCTGCTTCTAACTCACAACTTTGTGGTGGAGTAGGAACTGGTAAACTATCCGAATGTGGAATAGATCGAATGGCAAATGCAAGATTCGGATATTCAACTGCTTCTATTTTCTTCATTGACAAACCTGCTTTAATGCGTGGGGTTAGAAAGAGCAGTCATTTGTATGGTTTTTAGACTCCCTCCATACCATAGGAACAGCAAAAGCACTGTACAACAACGAAAAAAAAATGGAAATGCCATTGACACTACCTTATGTATTTTGATTTGGAGATTACGAAAATAATGTCCGTTTTGTTGTGTGACCCACCAATTTTGACGGAAATTCACATTTTCAAATTTTCGATTTTCACTATGAAAGTTGTCAATGTGATTTTTATTATATTTAATAGCAGTTGTTTATGATTTATTTATTAGCATTTTTTTATAATATACCTATTGGCATTTGTTTAACCTTGTATTAGACTAAATGTAAGTCTGTTTTATTTTAGATAAACTACAATTAGCCAAGTTATATATAGATATAATACAGTGTATATTGAAACAAGAAATGCCCAGAACTTGTAAAAATCAAGCCGACAACTTTTGCTACATTTGTGGCGAAATGACTTTAAAGAGATGCAGACGAAGATTGACACCACATGTGAAAAAACTGTATGAACTATACTTTGGTTGCAAAGTCGGCGACCAGGATAAGAACTCGGCGCCTCATGCATGCTGTGTGAGGTGCTCTAGTTCACTATCGTTGTGGGCGAACAGGACTGGTGAAGGACCAACATTTGGGGTGCCAATGGTGTGGCGTGAACCCCAAAATCATTGTTCAGATTGCTAATTCTGTTCTGTTAACATATCAGGTCGCAATTCTAAGGGTAAGAAAGCTATAGTGTACCCAAATCTACCTTCAGCTATTCGTCCTGTTCCTCATTCGGCTGATCTCACTGTTCCTGAACCTCCATCGGAAATCCCAAACACGGAAAGTTCTGATTCAGACGAGGGTACTGATGACGATGATAGTTACGAGCTGCCAGAAGATACAGAGCGTAAACCCCACTTCATAACAGGATCTGACCTGAAAGATCTCGTTCGAGATTTGTGTTTTACAAAACAACAGATTGAATTGCTGGCCTCACGTCTCCAGGAGTGGCATCTGTTGGCTGGTGATGCAAGAGTGTCGTCATTTAGAAAGCGATCACGGGAACTGCAGCAATACTTCTTTATGGATAAAGAACTTTGCTTCTGTAATGACATCAGTGGATTGTTTGATGATCTATTAAGTGCTGACGTCACTTAAGTAATGCATCTCTGCGATTTAGATGATACTATCACTCGTGTTGTCTGTAACCGTTTTACATCATGGATTGTGTCTGGTTAACCCAGTTTATGACAAAGGATGTACGTAATAATAATAATGATAATAATATTAATAATAACAACAACTATTATAATAGCAATAATAAGTAAAATAAATTATAATGGCGTTTAAACTATTTATATTACAAACTAATAAGTCCTTATAAATATTTAAGGATGACTTATCCTGGCCCCCTACCTTTATATTGAAGTAATGCTGGTAAACAGTCTTCACAAGAGGTGTCATAGTTCTTTTCTGTGAGGAAAATGTTATTTCACCACAAATACAACAAATATTGTCCACTAAATTTAAACACTTCCTTGGCATGTTGGTTTGTCAAATCTTCCACTAGTAAATGAAAAAAAACTAAGAATAGATTAGACCAGAAACCTTAGCAAACACACATAACTAATATCACAAGTTTTAAACATGAATAAAACAATAGGGATTGTCAAAAACAAAAACAAAAATATTTTCAAAAAATGAAAATTTATACCCTTGAGAGAAAATATTTGCTTTCATTTCTTGAACTAGAGCTGATACGTCATTTTTAATGTCAACTTTGAATTTAGCGGGTGGAAATACAAAAGAAATAACTCATTTTGGTTCCTAAACAAAATCACTTTGGCGCATACGTCATTTAAGTTATTAGGTTTACCAGATAGCCTACGCGTTCAACAGCAATACAGAGACAACTTTTTTTTTATAAGAAAAATGATTTAACATTCAAATTTTTTTTCCTTCAAAATTAAATAAAAGGGTGAGGTTCCTAATAAGCTGCGGACAGTCTGGAATAAAAACTTAATAAAGAAAAAAATGAAACAGTCTGTACCCGTCTTTTTATTGAATTTCACAATTTTACAATAAAAAGTTATAATGTATTAAACATGTATGATTCAAAACAAAGAATTTACAGATTTTTCTAATATGTCAAATCTTTGTTTTAATCACCAAATAGCGCAAGGACTACCGAAGCGTTTAAAATTTTTAAAATTATGTTATAAATTATTTTTTATTAAAAACTTTAACAGTAGATAATATTTTTTGTTTTTCTACTGCTTACTAAAAAATATTGAAGCAAGTTATAGTATAGAAATCTGACACTTCTATATTTAACGGGTCCCTAATATTATCCGAAAAATTTCTTCAAAAGTTTGTCAACCTGGGACTCATAAGAAGTCTTTAGATACAGAAACTGGAGTGATACGAATATCAAGCAATGGAGCAACCTATTTCACGGCTATATCAGGTAGAACGCAACTAGTGAAATCAAGAGATGATATTGATGAAAAGTTCTTAGCAAACAATTTAGGTGAGGTGACAAAGTCTGAACCACACAAGATAGGTCGAATAACAGATTTGCCAATATTACTGATACTGTTAAAGATTCTCAACAATAAGACTCAACAGAAGAAAAGTTACTTTGAAGACCGCGAATATTAGTGAATGATAGGTTTATAGAACTTGATGATAACAATGGTTTTTTGTGTTTTATGGTTTTTGGCACTTTAGTCATTTTAAATTTTTTAAAGAACTTGACTCAAAGCATAGACAGTACTCAGTACACTATTTAATAGTCCAAGCAATTACCTCATTAATATTAATAAATCCTAAGCCGTAACAAAGGGCTCCAAATGTGACCTCGACAATGCACACCAATAGAACAAACAGGTACATTATCCATGCGCAATATGGCACTGTTAGTACTCTGATATTTTTCAGTTGTTGATGTAATCAGCTTTTCTGAGAGCTACCACAGAATTTGAGAAACCTGACTACCAGGCGGTCTTAGAAATAAAAAACTGCGTTATAGTGCTGTACCCTCATTAGGAGATAATAGAATGAGTTGTCTAGTCATAAAAACAGAGGCACAAGCAAAACCCATCTATTGAGTCAAGAAGATCCAGCGTTCAACATCCTAAACTGGAAACAATGTATTAATAATACATCTGCGCCACCTATTAGATAAAGAAGGGGTGCGAGGCTGGTCAATATCTGTTTTTCTATATCTGTGGGATAGATTATATGTCCTAAAGATTTCAATATTATCAAACTTTATTTAATAAAAAAAATCCAGGAAAAAATGTGTAAACTAAAAATTATTTATTTTCTTAACTCTTCTTTACATGTGTTATGTATTTTAAATTTGTAAAAAATGTGAAACTGCTTGCATACATTAAGCAAAAAGTAACTACCTTTTAAAAGTTTTTTTTTTTGTATTATACAAAATACACATTTGGAATAATGCGAAAAATTTACTTTTAAAATTTCGTTTAATTTTTTAAAGCTGAACAAATTAAAAAATTAAACAAAATGATTTATGATAAACTAATTATTTAAAATTTAAAATATTCATTAAAAGCATTAAAGAAAAAAAAAATTTTAAGCAAGAAAAACAAAAATATTTAGCATTGTTTTTCCAATTACTTTTTAAATTTATATTAAAAAAAAGACTTAACCAAATAGACAAATTTGTGGAAACAACTGCCCCAATTGTTTGTACTAAATAATGCAAATCGATACAGATTCTGTCAATTTTTATTAAATATATTTATTCAGATGCTATTGATATTTAGTTTGACTTCTTAATAAATGTCAGATTTTATATAGTACTAACAAAATTAGTTATATAGCGGATGTTAAAGGTAGCAGAAATTGAAAGAAATTTTTGTTTTTAATGGCATTGAGTAAAAAATAAATATGGGTTTTAAAATGGCGTTAAATTTAAAAAAAATATAAATAGACATTTTTTTTTAAACTCAATATAGCTATATATAATCAGTGTTCTAAAGTCTTCTTCCGCAATCATAATGACATCAAACTAATAATAAGCGATATATATATATATATATATATATATATATATATATATATATATATATATATGCATATATAAATATATATACATATGTATATATATATATATATATATATATATATATATATATATATATATATATATATATATATATATATATATATATATGTGTGTGTGTGTGTGTATGTATATATATGTATGTATGTATATATATGTATGTATGTGCATATAAGTAATGCATCTCTGCGATTTAGATGATACTATCACTCGTGTTGTCTGTAACCGTTTTACATCATGGATTGTGTCTGGTTAACCCAGTTTATGACAAAGGATGTACGTAATAATAATAATGATAATAATATTAATAATAACAACAACTATTATAATAGCAATAATAAGTAAAATAAATTATAATGGCGTTTAAACTATTTATATTACAAACTAATAAGTCCTTATAAATATTTAAGCTGCTACAAGCAGTCCTCAGCAAATACCAAACGTAAATTTTGGAGATATTTTATTAACACCGCAGCAAAAGCTAGCGCTTAAAAATGGCGAGGATATGGGAGGATCAAATCTAAACAGCAACGGTTATTCAATTGCTAATGGTAACAATCTCAGATGGACGGATGCGATTATACCTTACAAAATTGATTGTTCTATTGGTAAGTATTCATAACTATAAAATTTAAAAAGTGACTATTGCCTCACAAAAAAGCATTTTGATTACACTAATTATCTACTCATACTGTATTAGCCTTTTCGTCACTATCAGCAAATGACAAGCATTTTTATATTTACTTAATACACAATTTAAAAAATTAAATATTTTATTTTTGATTTCAGAAAATCTTCCTGATGCTGTGGAAGCTGTCACAAAAGCAATGGCTGAATGGGAAAATAAAACTTGCATCAGATTTGTTAAACATACTAATGAGAAATATTTTCTTGAATTTTTTCGAAATACTCAGTAAGTTAATTTTACTTATATTTTTTATGTATACGTTAAAATGAAAAAATAAAAAGATAGCTATAAAGCAATAATAAAGTTCATGAAAAATGTTGCATAATTAGAAAAATTATGCCAATATTATAAACTTAATAACAATTTAGTTGCTGGGGAAATGTTGGAATGACGTCATATACCAAGATCTCTGTCGGAGATGGTTGTGAATATCAACATGTTAATACTCATGAAATTGGTCACGTGGTATGAATTTTTTTAATAATTCAGCAAAAAATCAAAAATTTAAATTTTTATTATCTACCTAAGCTTGTCGGTATTTAGCGTAATAAAGTAACCATTATATATATCATGGAGTATCTTCAAATGTGTTTTTCCTTTTTGTCTCCTAATCTTTGTGTCTAGAAAGTTTTTAGCAGTTTCTGTTGGGTTTTTGGCAGTTTCTGTCGGGTTTTTGGCAGTTTCTGTCGGGTTTTATGTAGTCATATGGTAAGACCCTAAAACTGAATAAAAGGATAAACTGAATAAAAAAAATTGTTTACCACGAGGAAGAAAACGGCGGCTTTTAATAAAAATGCTATTATCCTCCGTTTTGTTATCAAAAAAAAGTCAAACATTATTTTGATTAATTTAACAAGATAAAAAATTTTTAATATCAACAGCCGGTATAAACCTTTTTATTGCCAGATGTAAACAAACATCCAACAAACGTTTAAAAATCTTAAAAATCTTTGATATTCCAGACCCAAATACTTGCAAAAGTTGTATTAACAAAAAAACTCAAACGATAAACCAGCAAAAAAACATGTAAATTTGATAACTTTTGCAGTTTCTAGATTTTGTGTTGCTCATCTGCATCATATAATATGCATTATACAGTAGATACTTTCCTTAAATTGTCAATGAACGTGTTTTATCTGATTCATTTTCTGTTATGTAAAAAAAAAATTTTTTGTTTAGATAAACATTGCAAATTGACTTTATTAAATCAATTTTCTTGTATGAAATTGTAAAGGAAGGTTTCTATTTTTAAGAAAATTTTTAAAAGTTCTTTTCTTTTACGGGAGTTAAATTTACTGTGAAAAAATTCTGCCACGTTAATTTACATTAAATTGATTTGAGAGTTTTATTTCTTTTAATTTGATTGTAATTTAAGAAACTTTTTAAATTATTTTTAAATATTTACCCAGCCGGCATTTGGTTCTAAAAAGACGTCTTATGAACGTTCAAAAGACATTCTAAACGTCTTTTGAACGTTCAAAAGACGTCTTTTTAGGAACAATTGATGGTTGGGTAATTTTACGCACCAAACGAATACATATTTTTGTCTTTGGTATTCAGTCATATGGTACCTTAGGGGTCGTCCATAAATTATGTCACGCTGGGGGGGGGGGGGTTGTTGTTGGTTTTGTGACGATTCATTCAAAACGCGCTTCTTAAGTGTTACGATTTTGTGACAAGGGAGGGGGGGTGGTCGAAAACGGTCAAAAATTGCGTGGCGTAATTTATGGACAACCCCTTATTAAAAAATTTTTAAAATTTTTTATGAAGTTTATCAAAATTAAGAAATTTTACTAAGGTTGGTTTTTATCATGAGCAAAATCGAGTGGACAGAGATCAATGGATAAAAATACATTGGGAGAACATTGTAAGTACAAATTAAAATATGTATGTATAAAATCTTAGTTTTTTGAAATAATATTTTATATAAAACTCAGTTATACACAATTTCATAGGCACAGTTTAAAGATGCTTTTGATATAGTAAAAGAGACAAGCTCGTTAGGAGTTGATTACGATTATGCATCAATAATGCATTATCCATGGAATGCTTTCTCTTCAAATGGAAAAGATACAATTACACCCATTAAGCCTCTCAATGGAAAAACACCTTATATAGAGCTCAGTAAAGATGATATTGAACAAGTTTCACGAATGTACAACTGCCCAGGTTCTTATTAAAAAAGCCTTATGCAATCGTTTATTTTATAATCGAGTAATACTATCATACCCTTTATTTTATTATTGCATTATACTACCCTACCATTTGTTTTATAATCGAATCATACTATCCCACCTTCTATTTTCGAAACAAAGAAATAATAACTAATAAATATCTTACAGCAATTGAAAAGAAAAGAGCGTTGGCAAAAAAATCAAAATATTTTGGAGATGTTAGAGAAAGAAGAAATGCTAACGGTAAATAATTAAAGTAATCTTTATATATATATATATATATATATATATATATATATATATATATATATATATATATATATATATATATATATATATATATATATATATATATATATATATATATATATATATATAGTAGTAGTATATAAGAAATGCTAACGGTAAATAATTAAAGTAATCTTTATATATATATATATATATATATATATATATATATATATATATATATATATATATATATATATATATATATATATATATATATATATAGTAGTAGTATATAGTTAAATTACCATTTTAATAGATTGTGTTGATCAAAATAAAAACTGTCCTGATTGGGCAAAAGCTGGTTATTGCTCTAAAAATCAAGCCACTGCTGAACTTTGCAAAATGAGTTGTAAATCTCCATCTTGTCAAGTCACGGGTATTTTTTTTTCAAGAAAAAACTAATTTTTAATTTTGCTTTACAGCATTTAGTACTTTTAAAATATAAGATAAAATTAATTTTTAGCCAGTTATTGTGTTGACCAACGAACTGAATGTCCAGAATGGAAATCATGGGGCCACTGCACACTGAGTACAGGCGTAGCAAACGCATGCCCATTAAGTTGTGATCCAAAATGCAAAGGTATGCTTTTAATTTTCGGTAGCTTTCAAGTTAAAAAAAAAGAAATAAAAAGTTTAAAAAATCTTTTTAGATTTTCTCCCCAAAACAACTCCAACATCCCCAACAACTGGACATGAAACAAATCCTCCAACAGTAAAGCCAACTGAAGCGCCAAAAAGAAATTACATGGGTATTGGTAGGTGCATATTGCATAATTTAACTTGCTTAAACATATGAAATAACATAAAATATATGCATATACTATATTATAATACATTAGAAACATATGCATATGTTAGGTATTTTGTGTCGAGATGGTCATGTTGAATGTGCTAATTGGGCAAAGCAAGGAGAATGTACACGCAATCCTGGATGGATGACAAGAAACTGTGCAATATCATGCAAAAATGATCGATGTGATAAACAGGTTCTTAAGCCTTCTGGAAAATGTGCTGATCCTTTAGGTTTATCGTGGGATGGAAAAAGCTATAAAATTCCAGACTCAGCTTTATATTCTCCTGACCACCTGAAGCCAGGTTGTTGTTTTTTTTAATAAAATTTTTTTTTTTGTTTTCTTTTTTTTCTTTCAAATTAATAATGTTATTTAAAAATCATTAGGTGAAAACTGGGAGGCAAGTGCTAGAAATGCACGTTTATATTTTGAGGATGATCACAAAAATAAACGCATCGGAGCATGGTGTGCAGCAAGTCATGAACAAGTTGGTTCAAAAAATGGATATGTTCAAGTAGATTTAGGAAGTCAAAAGACTATTAACTATATTGCTACTCAAGGTATACTCTAAACGTTGATTGTTAATATATATATGTATATGTATATATATATATATATATATATATATATATATATATATATATATATATATATATATATATATATATATATATGTATATATATATATATATATATATATATATATATATATATATATATATATATATATGTATGTATGTATGTATGTATGTATGTATGTATGTATGTATGTATGTATGTATGTATGTATGTATGTATGTATGTATGTATGTATGTATGTATGTATGTATGTATGTATGTATGTATGTATGTATGTATGTATGTATGTATGCATGTATGCATGTATGCATGTATGCATGTATGCATGTATGCATGTATGCATGTATGAATGTATGTATGTATGTATGTATGTATGTATGTATGTATGTATGTATGTATGTATGTATGTATGTATGTATGTATGTATGTATGTATGTATGTGTGTATGTATTGGATTAGAATAAAGTAAAATAAAATGAAGTTTTTCCTGTTTTAAAATTATAACCTTTATAACTGCTTTCATAGGGCGATTCAGATACTTTGAAAGAGTCTCTCAATTTAAAATAGAATACAGTAATGACGGAGTCAAATTCCAAACATATTCTGAAAATGGCGTGCAAAAGGTATTCTATTTTTTTATGTTTAATTGTTTACATTTTTTAATTTCATTCAAGTATTATCTTACTGCAACATTCTAAGAAGAATCACGGTTCCCTCATATTGACCATGGTAATCTAAATGATTGATTTGTGTAAAATTTAAATTTTTAAAATCTTTAAATTTATTGACGTACCGATCTTAAAGTTGGTAAGATAGATATCAATTTTTTAGGAAGATTTAAGTACAAAATTTAATGTACAAAATTTAATGTTTATAAATTTACTTTATTTTGATAGACATTGTTTGATTGGCAATCAAACTATAACAATCATGATATTCCTTTTTTCAGTTTGATTGGCAATCAAACTATAATAATCATGATATTTCCATTTATTGTTTGATTGGCAATTAAACTATAACAATAATGAAATTTCCTTTTATTAATTTAGAAATTTGAAGGCAATTGTGATCATCAAACACCAGTGTTAAACCAATTTAAAACTTCTATATCTGCTAGATATTTGCGATATATACCAGTAGAATCTAATTATCCTTGCGTAAGAATGGAGTTTTATGGATGTTAAACATTACATATAAACAAATTGTACTTTATAGATATTATGAAAAAATTACTTTTTGATGTTTTGTTTTTCTTAAAAAAAAATGAGATATTAAATAAAAAGGAAAAGATTTACTCCAAAAACTTATTTTTTGAGAATCATTCCTAGATGGTATTCTTCGGCGATACTCTATGGCAAGGCCGTTATTGGCCGTTACATTAAAAAAACTATATACATAAGTTAGAAAGCCTTGCAAAGTTGTATTGAAACCCTGAAAAAAAGTTAACGACTGAAAAATTGCATCTTTGTTATTATATTATTATGTACCTATTTCGTCAATAAACAATCGTTTTACAAAGTTTTTTGTAAAAACTAAAAATTAAATTTTTATATTCTGAAAGGAGTAAGTAGAAAACAATGCGTCTTATCACCCTGCTCCTATGTTCGTGAAAATATCAATAAAGTTTTACGAATTAAGTTCCTAAGATATGCGTTATATAAGTTTTATACATATTACAAGTTTTATACATATTATAACATATTATAAGTTAGATGAAGAAGTAATACTAGGATAAAATGACCTTGAGAGTTCTAGATTATCTAATATATATTTACCCAGGTTACTGACTCCCTGATAGTGTAACGCTGACGTAACACTTACGTATTAATTATGCGGAAGTTATTTTATTTTAAATATATAATCGCTTTGTTGTACCGAGGTTGTAAAGTGGCGGCAGCAGTGTTATTATTTGGGGTTGCTTTAATTTTAACGGAGTAGGGAAATGAAACATTTATACAGATCGAATCAACCAACATACATATATAGAAACGCTTGAGAACTGCATGGTTCCATCAGTGGACATGTTAATTGATCAAAACTGGTGTCTTTTTCATTTATAAAATCTTTTGCTAAAGCTTTTACATCTATTTCCGCGGTGTTCAGCTTATAAAATTGAAGAAATAGAAGACGATTTAATCGCTTCTTAGTCGAGGTTGACCGACTATATGACTTCATCATTCTTAGATAAAAGAAAGATCTCTCGGCTGTGTATGTTGTCATGGGTATCGCCAAGTAAACTTTTAGAAGTTTTGATATTTCAAAAAATATTATTGAGACTCCTTTAAGTTGTTTAACATATCAATTATAGTTGTGATTGAAGTTACCTGTTCAATGTTCATTTTATATGTAATGTTAAAAGTTTCCTTAATGGATTTAAATAGAAAGAGTTCAACTTTTAATTTTTCATAAACTAAATCATTTTTACAGTAAAACCTTTAATAATCTAAAGCTTTTATGTTCGTATCACCATTTACTGTGGACAATAATAATCTTTCTAAAGCAATTATTGATTCGATTGAATTTTCTGAAACTGCTGATTTAATTGACTTTTTATAACATCAAGTACCTCGTAATACTCGGTAATATTCCATCGTGTCCCATTTGTGAAATTTAAAGTATTATCATCAAAGCGAAAATGAGTTAAACATCGACGATGTTTAAGCATGAGGTGAATTGCAACCAAATTTTTTAACTCTTTCATTAACACTAGATTCAAAAAATGATTTAAAACATGTTTCTGATTTCATAGATGATATATGAATTTTTAATAACATTATTGATGGAGCGATTGTTTGAGCATCTACTTCAGCAGGTTGCATATGTTGAGAGACTTGCTCTACAGTTGCAAACACATCATAAGTCAGGCAAAGCCCAAAATACAGTTGAAATGATAATAACTTATCAAGTAAATCTTCTGCTATAACTACTTTAGGATCATTTGATTCAGATTTTCTCGAAGCTCTAATACAATTACTTGAAAATTTGTCATAATTGAACCATATGATTTGGTCTTCGCGGTAAAACGGGTTGGACAAAGGAGCACTTAAATTGATTTTCTTGACATCCTCGTCAAGTAAATCACATTGCAATTTTTTAAACCTTACCAGTCTCTTTGGAGCTAAACAAATGAAATTATACAACAACTGGCACAATTCCTGTCCCTTCGACATACATTTGACTTATTTGCAAGTATCTTGAAGAACAAGGTTGAGCCGATGTGCGTAAAAATGTAAAAAAAATTGCTTAATTGACATCATCTTGAATTAGTTTAGCAACACCTGTTAGATGCCCTGACATTGAAGCGGCACCATCATAACTTTTCCCCCACACCATTTTCTTGTCTAGTCCACATCTTAATAAAACATCACATATTGCATAAAAAAGCAACTTACTGTCGGTAACATCAACTGCATAGAGACCAAGAAAAAAAAAGCATTTGTATTATACACAAGATTATATCTAAATTTGTAACAAACGGATGCTGGATGATAAGACCATGTCTCTGCCCCCCCCCCTCCTCACACACAATTCCTACATCTAAAATTGCTTTTGTTTACAATCTTTACTCACAAAAATGATTGTTTTCTCAAAACACCCTACAAAAATAATATACAATAAAATTTGGGCCTGCATGATTTTGCAGGACTTAGATGCTATCGATTATTTGAAGGTCAAATTAATGCTGATAGATATATTGAAATTTAAGATATTTGCCTTCTTCCCTCAATCGATATATTTAAAGAAAAAAATAGCAATACCATATATTAACAAGATGGTACATTGTGCCATACTGCAAAAATATGCAAACAATCATTTGAAAACAACCAATTTTCAATGCCTGCTAACAGTCCTGACTTTAATTGTATAGAAAATTAATGGTCATGATTAGATCATCATTTTGGAAAAATTGAAATTTTAGATGTTGATCAACTAAAAATTAAAATAAGAAAATTGCTTGACAATGTGCCTAAAAAAATATCTCAAAATCTTGTAAATTCAATGTCAAAGAGAGTAAATCAATGTTTACTAAAGAAAAGTAATTCTACAAAATATTGAAATGCATTTTTTTAAATAGTTTTCTTTTTGTAAATTGTTGTTTTAATATACTACTTAATATATTCTTAACTTTTGTCTAATCTTTTTTTTTTTATTAAAATAAATTTTTTATTTTTTGGTATCAAAATCATTATGTTTAGGATTTTATTGATTTCCATAATGCATTTTTTACTTATAATATAAAAAAAAATAAAAAAAAAAACAAAAAAAATTTAGTTTTTAATTCTTTTATTTTGATTAATGTTTTATACAAAAAAAGTAGTGAGAATATATGGCTAACGATAATAATTACAACGTGTAAAAAAAGAGACTTTTTTTAAAAATGTTTAAAATTATATTTTACATTTAATAATATATTAACCATAAAAAGTATAAAAACAAATTACAAAAAATATATCCAAATTCTTCGAAATTTTAACAAAGCTTTAGGATCTAAATAAAAAATAAAATGTAATCAAAATATAATCTTTTAATTTAACGTTTGTGTGTGTGTGTGTATGTGTGTGTGTGTGTGTGTGTGCGTGTGTTTATAGGTAAGAACAAAAGGCAGTCAATAAAATGCAGAAAAAAAATTATTACAACCCAAACTTTTTGTCATCAAAATTGAGTATGAAAAAATAATATTATACAGATTTATATTGTTGTAAAAAAAGAGGGGATAATTGAAAATGTACGTAGGGTAGATTAGGGTAATATGAGCACCCTAAGCGAAAGTTGGAACATTTTCAAAAATAATTATGCTGGACCAAAAATTTTTTTGCAAATAAACACATTTTAGGGATCCCTACTCATGATCCACTTAGATATTTGGGCACCCGATATATTTTTTAAAAACACAAAGGTTTTAAAAAAGTAGCAAAAGTGCTCATATTACCCAGACCTCTTGGTAATATGAGCACTTTTGATTGGTCAAAAAAATAACATTAAGTAAAAAATACCAACCTGACAATTAGAACTAATTTTTTGAGCATAGTGATTCGTTATTAACAAAACTTATCATTAAAAGATCGAATTTTAGGCCCAGACCTCTTGGTAATATGAGCACTTTATATTGGTCAAAAAAATAACATTAAGTAAAAAATACCAACCTGACAATTAGAACTAATTTTTTGAGCATAGTGATTCGTTATTAACAAAACTTATCATTAAAAGATCGAATTTTAAGCCACTTTTTGTTGAAACAATACTACTATGTATTTCGCAAAAAAAAAAAAAAAAAAAAAAAAAAAAAAAAAAAAAAAAAAAGTTCGTTATTTTTTCAATTTTATTATTCACAAACCTTTGAACAATAAAAATTCAAATTTTTTGAATTTAAATTACAGAAAAATATTTGGTTTTTTTTTAAATATTATAATTTTTTAATATGCTTTGTTTTTATTCAAAAAGCAATTAAAATTAAAACCACATTTTAGGACTTTAAATTAGGTAATTTCAATGAAAAGCACTGGGTAATTTGAGCATGCTCATATTACACAAAAATGGCATCTTTAAATAAAGTCAAAATTAAATGTTTCAATGCATTGTTTTTTAAACAAAAATGGATTGGATTCTTAGTTAACATATTTTTAAAAAAAATAATTTCATTATTTTAGCACCAAAAATTCGCGGCACAGATTTACTCATGTTTTTACTGCAAACAAGTTAGACATATGAATAAAATGCTAAAAACAGTTTCAGTTTACCCCAAACAAAAAGCATATACAGAATTTGGTATTTAAGTAAGAGTTGGTACCTTTTTTGATTTTTTAAGTTATGTTTCTACTTTTTTATTTTTAAAGAGTTATTGTAATATTTTTAACGTGAAACTTTGTATCAGTAATCTAAACTGTAAAATGCATTTTAAAAACAGAAAATCACCACTAACTTTTTCATCAAACAGAAAATCACCACTAACTTTTTCATCAAACAGAAAATCATCACTAACTTTTTCATCAAACAGAAAATCACCACTAACTTTTTCATCAAACAGAAAATCACCACTAACTTTTTCATCAAACAGAAAATCACCACTAACTTTTTCATCAAACTGAATATATAAAATTTTCAAATTATGCAAACTTTCAACTTTATTTTTCTCAAAAACGCTATTCTAGTTGTTGTCACCCCACAAACCCGAAATTTTTTTTTTTTTTTTTTTGGATTGTTTTTCTTTTTATTACACAGCGATGCTAATAACTCCATTTCTAAGACTTAGTCCCTTTCTCTGTGAGGTACCTCATTTCACTCTACATAATAGCACCTCACCATACATAGCACCTCACCATTCATAGCACCTCATTGAAATAATTATTTAAACTAGATCATTTTTATGTTTTTTTTTCTTTTATAAAGTTAATAAAGTATAAATATTATAATAAGTAAAAAGAACTTTAGTAGTTATAAAAATCTTTTACCTTACAAACTTCAGCTGGTTTTATCTGTTCAACAACGAGTTTTATTAAATCATCACCATACTCTGTAATTAGGGCATCACACTAAAAATATTAAAAATTGCATTTGTTATTTTTGTCAAAAGGCTAGTTATTTAATTAGTTATTAACACATTCTTCAGAAAAAATAAAAACCTCGTTTGAGAACGCTGATGGCAGCTTTTTACAAAGGACTTGGATCTCCTGTTCAATTTCAGTTTCAACTTTTTTTGTTTCTAACTCTTTGTCTAAATAACCCATGGCATATTCACATATGCTGCATGACACACCTTTTACTTCTTGGCGCATAGCTAAATAAGTAATAACAACCAAATTCTGTCAAAACTGAAAAATAACCAATGCTTAGGTATGAAAGATATTTTTATAAAACAATTACATTAACAAATATTCTTACCAAGAAAATGTTTTATCTTGAGCTTTGTAAACTTAGCTGCCATTTTTTCAGTGCATAAACCAAGGGCCTGAAAATTAAGTTAGTTTGATTAGAGTAAAATAAAAAAACAAAAAAACAAAAAAAAAAGTTGAAAAAGAAAAAAAAAAACTACGATAAAAATAGTTAAAAGAGTACCTGACAAATAACTGATGGTTTCAGTTCTTGGGCAAGCATGCTAATTATCATATCTCCATAAAGATCAATTAGTATCTTGCACTTAAGAACAAAATTGTGTCAATTAATAAAAAAATGATAAAATATGGTGGTCAATATGTTCAAAAATATGGTGATAAATAGTGATATATAGTATAACTGAATGAAGAACAAAAAATTGAAACACTAAAGAAAAAGTTTCTGATAAAATATTAAATACCTCTCCAGCTATAGCAGATGGAAATTTAGCACACAAATTTTCAACTGCTTGTTTTATTTCAGCTTCTGTTGCATTATCAGTTAGAATGGCATCTAACTTACCCATTGCATACTGGCAAAAATCACAAGTAATACCATTACCACTATCATGATTAACTGTGAATAAAGAAAAAAAAATTATTGAAAGTGATGCAAAACAATTTTTTGTGAGTGCTTAAATAAAATATGAGTTAACAGTATATGCATAAATTTATATTTAACAACATTTTTCCCTTTTCCAGCTTTCCCTTTTTCCCAACATTTTTTTCCTTTTGCACCTTTCCCTTTCCCGGTATAATCTTGAATAATCAAAGAAACCAATTTTTAAAAAAAAACAATGGCATAAATGTTTTTTAATTGGCATAAATCTAATAATTTTCCTAAAAACCATTCCAATGGTAATGGTTTTTAGGAAAACAGGTGATAATCTTGATGATTATACAAAGCTGAGCCAGTGCAGCGCTGAATTAGTTAAATTATAAATAAAGTTAATTGTTAATTTGACTGTTTTATTGTTAAATTTCATCAAACATAGCATAAATATGCCCTAGTCCACATCGTGCAGTGATAAACATAAAGGTTAATATAAACTGAGCTAACTTAAATATATTTTTACCTTGGTAATTATTTTTGTTTATATTACTTATAATAGAAAGGTAAAGATTCTGGTATGTAAAAATAATTAAATAATTAAGGTTTTAACAAAATTTATTCATGTGTAAACAATCATTTGCTAAAGATTAATAAATAGCTTATGTGAAAACCCAAATAAAATGCTTGTCGGCAGAATTTCTTTTAAAAACAGAATATTTCAAGTGTTCAGGGAGTTGATAATTATGTTAATTATGTTAATTGAAATCTTTATCAATTATCAGAAAAAATCACAGGACTCATGATATTAGTTTGTTAATAAAAAAATCAATGACTTTTCTATTAGAAGTAAAAAGACTGATTAATCAGAGGGGCCTTGGTAATTTCTAGAGTTTCTTAAAACTAAAAAGAACAACAGATGCCATTTTACAAAAGAAGGAAAACAAGATTCAATTAAGCATTTAATTAAATAGTTTATAGAGTGTATACTGTGGTAATTGTTTAATTTATGTTTCATTAAAACATAATTTTTATCAATATGCCCTGCTAGCTGACATATGTTAATGAGAACAGTATTTTAATAAAACCCTTTTGCTAATTTACTACATTATTAGCATAGATCATCCTAGTCATATTTTAAAAATCCGAAAAATTGTTTGGATAAAATATCCGAAAAAAATCCGGAATTTGTTTTCCCTTATTTTGTTTTTAATTTTGCTTTTAGCTAAGTTGTTTTTACTTTTTTTTGACACTTTCATGATTTTTCTATGACTGATGAGTGAAAAAGCTTAAAAAACAAATATATTACAAAAATATATACCTCAACTTGCATGTATTGAAAATGTTTTAAATATCCGGAAAAACTAATAATTGAAAAAAATATCCAGAATTCCGGAAATATCTGGAAAAAGATAATCCCTATATTAGACAATTTTTAATACCACAGTCATTTCATCATACCACAATAATGACAAGTATATTATTGATAATACTAAATAATCTTTGAAAAAAATGAAATAATTCTGAAAAGTAATGAAATAATAAAAATACCGTTTTTTATTTTTGAAGCACACAAACCAAGTTGTTAAACATAAAACAACTTTCTATAATACTTGCAAAACACTAATCTAAAGTCTAAATATATTTTTCGTATGGTTTTTAATATATTATATATTAAATGTTAAAAAATATTAATATATATATATATATATATATATATATATATATATATATATATATATATATATATATATATATATATATATATATATATATATATATATATATATATATATATATATATATAGATATATATATATATATATATATATAGATATATATATATATATATAGATATATATATATATTAAAAACCATACGAATCAACCAAACCGAAATCATTTACCTTCTCTATTTGACTTATGTCTTGTTTCTGATTCTAGCTAGTGCTCAGTTTCTCCACATGACAATAATTTCTTATCATTTTAAAAACTAAGAAATGTGAATCCAAGAAAGTATGTGAGAAGCACATTGGTCGACAGGAAGACAAAAGATTTCTACCCAAAGACCATTACAAAGAAAATCATGGAAAGAGTCCTAGTCAGCTGTAAGGTAGTTGTAAGAGGTACAATGATAGGGGGATCTGATGATGAAGAAGAATGAGATAATAGTTTTAGAGAGATCAATTCAGCAACAAAATTAGATAAGGCAAAGCAAAAAAAAAAAAAAGTTTTGAGTCTTTATTAAAAAGAATGATTTTCCTTTATTTAAGCTTTTTTTTTAAAGAGGAAAGCAAAAATATAAACTGCAATATGTTTGTAAATATATTTGTTTAAATTTAATGTAACAAGTATTGTCACTTTATGAAAACACTTATGTAATAAATGCATATACTTTTATGTATAACTTTTTGTTTTATATAATTATATTTATTTCCTCCTAATTATACGCAAATTTAGCTTATTTGGATAAGGCATAGACTTTGTAAACAGAATGTCCCGTGATTCGCGACTAACCTCTTCCTAAATTCTTTTGTTTTTTTACACATGCAGAGTTGAATATTAAAAAGAAACGTGTTTCAGTTAAAATATTAGGGTTAAATAATGTACACGAAAAGAAAGGTAATATAAAACAACTGAGGCTATGTGTAGAGGGCATGGCCTAATTGAAGCTTAAAAACTATGTATATATGTGTGTGTGTGCCTTACTTAGAAAATACACTTAAAGGGCTTACTTAGAAAATACACTGAAATGGTATAAGAAATCTGAAATGTTTATCATTTAGAAACATACAACAAAAACATTTTTTATATAGAAATAAGAAAAGATAAATGATTACAAAGCAAACATATGACCAGAAGTATTTAAAAGAAAAAAAAAAAAAAAATGCAGACAGTTGTGGGAATCGAACCATAGTTATACATAAAAGTATACGTGTGCATTACATTGACGTTTTCTTATAGGGACAATATATACTTATTACATTAAAATTATACAAATATATTTTACAAACAGATTGAAGTTTATATTTTCGATTTCCTCTCTAGAAAAAAAAAACAAATAAAATATAGAAAAATCATTCTTTTTAATGTTTAAAACTGTTTTTTTTTTTGATTTGACTTACTGAATTGTTGCCAAAAATAACAACCACTCTGGAGAATCAAAAATAACAGCAGTAAATAAATGATTTAAATTATTATTATCTATTTAAGTTGTCTAAAATAAAAATACTCATGCGTGGACATACAAGACAAAAAACTGCAAGCGCTTTCTGGGAAGGCTTTTGCATTTAGACTTTTCGGATTTACTTCTAATGATGAGAAACTGATTCACCTAGCTGAAGCACCATGTACAACATCACAAAATTCACCTGTTTTTCTTGAGTATGAAAATACGGGCAAAAGAACTGAAAATCTTGAAAAAATTACTGTGCGATCCTCTCTATAAAGCCCTCATCAACAGATATCAAATTTTTTCAAGCTGCGAAAAGTTTCAGATTTCATCAGATCATGATTATCTGATGTTAAAATTTCTTAAAATTTTTTTTACAATAAAAATGAGTCATTATAAGTTTTATTTCAAAATATAAACATAATGTTAGAACACTTTGTTTAAATAACATTTTTAAAAAACATAATGTTAGAACACTTTGTTGAAATAACATAATGTTAGAACACTTTGTTTAAATAACATTTTTTAAAAACAATGAAAGAAAAGTTTACATAAGATTTATCATTTAACCCGAAAACTACGGTTAACAGCAGTTTTATTTTAATTAAAACTGAAACCATGGTTTTATTTATAAAAGCTGTTTTTTAGAAACCCTATATTTTATACAAAAAGTTAAAAGAATTAACAAGTTTTTACACCTATAATCCTGCATATTATAAATATTATTAGGACTGAGTATTATAATATTATAAAATTGAAATCAAAATTAATGAAATGTGAACAAATACTGTAATATATTTCTTTTCTTTTAACTTTTAACTTGATAATAATTAAATAATAATTTCTAAATAAATTTACAAATGTTTGTTATTGAAATATTTATCTAAAAAGAATACTAACATTACAGTTAGCTACGAAGGATACTATGAACTGTTTTAATTAGAAAAAAAGGTTTTATTTAATTAAAAATTAGGAAGTGACTGGGAACAAAGCCCCGGACCCGGATAAAAATGCAACTTTTTGTAAACCTAGCCTCAACCCTGGTAAAATTATAAGATTTAGTAGGGGTTGATAGCTGGGGCTTGAAAAAAAATTTATAATACTTTATATATTATAATTTTATACTTACATCTACTATTTATTGAATACTGGCATATATTTATATGTATTTAATTTTAACTTACTTTCAACAAAGTTGCAAGCAATCACTATTAAGTTATGAGTTACTTTAAAATAGTGGATAGTTTAAAAAAGCTAGGAAATGGCTATCTGAAGTTTTAAAAAGTTGTAGGTTGCATAAAAAAAAGAAAACATGAAGATGTGAAAGAGTTGTAAGGTTTTTTCATGCGCAAGCAAAAAAACTGGATTAATAAAAGTTTTTCTAGCATGAAGGGACAGATACAGTAAAAAGATTCAAACTTATTCAACTTATTCACTAAGAAGCCAAGCAAGAATGAGTTTTGATTTATTGTAATAAAGATGATAGTTTGTTTGAGCATTGACCATGATTAGAGAAAAAGCATAAAAGAGGAAAGCTAAAGCCTTAATCTTAAAGATGATATTGATGATGATGATGATGACAATAATGATGATGATGACAATAATGATGATGATGACAATAATGATGATGATCATTATCTTGATCATAATGATGTATATATATGCATATATATACAAAATATAACATGAACTTTGAATAAAACAAAATACTTTAGGATGTATAAGTGTTTATACAGCCCCAGTCCCAGTCAAAAACCTAGCCACGCCTATATTTTATTATACCTGGCCCCAGCACCTGTGAAATATTAACTCCAGTCACTTACTAATGATAATTTTGATTTTCTATTTATATCACACTTTTATTTATAAGCAAATATTCAATAAATAAAAAAAAAAATTTCCTATTGCAAAATTAAACAAACAAGTTTTTTAATATTAAAACTATAAACTTTAAATTTTTCTATGATTTAAAATTGATTTTCTGACGACACCAGAAAAATAATTTTAATTAACTCATCATAGCGCCTTTGACTCGAGTTTGTTTAAATTTAAATGTTGCAATATGATATATTCTCCTGGTTTTAAATCAAAGAAAAATATTCACCTTGATTTAATTTTAAATTTCCAACTACTAAAATGGCTCTGTTAGTAGTGACTACTAAAATTTAATACTGACTACTAACAGTTAGTACTGACTACTAACATGGCCGAAACTATGAGGGTAGGGTGAAATTACTTTTTTTGAAAAACTCTGTTGTTACATCCTTAAGTTTTTTCTATACAATAAAATAACACTAGATTTATAAAATTTTTGAATAAAAAATATTTTTAGGCCCCAATTGTCTATTAAAAATTTAATGGGTCCCTAACATGATACAAAAAAAAAAAAAATTCAATATAGTAATCATTTTATATTAATATTTTAATTTTAGATTTTATTGAATAAAAACTATCGTTGTTTAACATTTAAAATAAAGTTTAATGTTGACAAATTTGTTAAGAAATTATTTTGCAAAAATAATTTGGAATCCATTTAATATTGAAGGGTCAGTTAGGATCCCCTAACATATTTCTTATTCTAAAGTTTTTTAAATTCAGTGTTATTATATAAAATACATAAACCTGGGAAAATTGAAAAAAAAAAAAAATTTTTCATTCCACCGTAATATTGATATAAAAGAGAAACCAACTAAGTTTATCCAAAAACATCATTTTGAGATAAGGAACAAATAAGTTTTTGCGTAATAGTTAAAATAACAAATTTTTGTAGAACAGTTAAAATAAAAATTTTTAACTCATTATTAATTGATTTATTAAATTTGTGTGGTATATCAAACAATAGAGAATTTAAAATAATAAATAGTGGTATAAATAACTTCATACAGCCAAAAATGGACTAAGTTCATATACGCCTGGATACCAACTGTATAACTACTGTACCAACTGTATAGTAATTGTAAGTTCATGTATGCCTGAATACCAACAATATAAAGTCTAAAGTATGCCTGAATACCAACAATATAAAGTATAAAGTATGCCTGAATACCAACAATATAAAGTCTAATGTATGCCTGAATACCACTAATATAAAGTCTAAAGTATGCCTGAATACCAACAATATACAGTCTAGATTCATTAAGTTAATAAAATCAAGCGTTTCATCAAGTTTATATTTCAAAAACTTCATACAGTAGATACAATCAAACTTTTTATTTTGTTGATATAATTATAATATGCTGATTCGTATCTTTATAATGTAAGATACTTTACTGTTCTAGTTGTAAATTTTACTGTTCTAAGTTTCTGTAAATTTTACTGTTTTAAACTAAAACGTAAAATTAAAACTTACCAAATACACATAAATAATGGCAATCAAAATAAAAATTATTAAAAAATAATATAACACATATACCTAAGAAAAATTCAAAACTATATTATTGAGTAACAGTTACCTTTTTGAATATTTACTTTTGAAACACATAAACCAAGTTGCTAAAAATATATAAGAAACATATTGGTTTATTTGATTTAATAAACTAAATAAAAAACCATTATTTTTAATATGCTAACCTTGCAAACAGCATTGGGATCTGAGAGTTCTGCAACAATTAAATCAATAATCTGGTCAGAATATGTATCAACTAATTGATCACACTAAACAAACAAAATTTAAAAAACGAGGTGTTTGAAAACATCTTAGTTCATATTTTTTTAACAAAAAAAAAAAATCAGCTAAATTAATTATACCTCTGATTTGAGAGATGCTGGTAGTAAACCACATACTTGCTCTAAAGCTTGTTTTACTTCAGCCTTGGTTTCATTTCCTTTTAAAATATCTTCCAAAGAACTCATAGCCATTGTGCATAGCTCACATGAATCATCCTTGGGTTGAGTTTGTTTAACTGTTAAATAAATAAATAAATTATAGTAACACATAATTCAAACTTCATTCACTTTATTTCCATAACATTTATTAAAAATTACACCTAAATAAAAAACTATGTAATCACACACACACACACACACACACACAGATATATATATATATATATATATATATATATATATATATATATATATATATATATATATATATATATATATATATATATATATATATATATCCCATGAATGGTTAGATTTTCAAAATTTCAATCTACTAACTTAGATTTTCAAGCTTTCAATTGTCGCTTAAAAAATTGCATAATTGATTCTTAGATTCCAAAATTGATTATGTATGCATCTACAATGACTTCAATTACTAAGGTCTCTATGAAATCCATGTCAGTTACAAAACTTTTCTTTTTCTTTTTTTATTTATTCCACAACTGCCTTAATATTTAATTGTTTTACTAAAATATTTTGGTCTAATGAATTTTCAAGCATTAATAAATGCAAAATCAATTGATTTTTTTTTAGAAAATTTACTATAGAACTCTTACAAAAATCAAGTAAATATAAAGTCAAAATCAAGTCAAATAGCGCCACAAACCTTTGATCACTTGTGATGATTGCTTGACACCCTGCTTTTCAGTCTTTGTCATAACTATAAATTTAAAAAATTTTAAAATTTTATAAATAAAAGTCGAACTACCATCATCTTTTAGTCTTTTAAGTAAAAATATTGAAATAAATCACACAACATTTGCATTTTATGTTTGTTTTTTTTCTATGTATATTACAGTTGCAACTTTAGGTAAGACTCATATTCCAAGTTTGGGCCAGGCATTAAGATCAATAGACAAAACATGAAAATTGAAATCAAAATTAATGAAATGTGAAAAACTATTGTAATTTATTTCTTTTCTTTAAACTTGAAAATAATTAAATCATAATTTCTAAATAAATTTACAAATGTTTGCTATTGAAATATTTATCTAAAAAGAATACTAACATTACATTACCTAGGAAGGATACTATGAACTGTTTTAATTAGAAAAAAAGGTTTTAATCAAATGACAATTAGAAAATGACTGGGACCCCAGCCTTGGTTAAAAATGAGACTTTTTGTAAACCTAGCCCCAGTTTTAATTTAATATTAATTCATAACTTAATATTGGTTGTTTAAACATAACAATTATTAAGTTATGAATTACTTTAAAATAGAGAATAGTTTAAAAAATCTAGGAAACCATTAACTAAAGACTTAAAAAGTTGTAGGTTGTATAAAAAAGGAAAACATGAAGATGGATAAGTTGTAAGGTTTTTTTCATGTGCAAGGAAAAAAACTGAAATAATAAAAGTTTTTATAACATGAAGGGACAGATACAGTAAAAGGATACAACTTGTTGAATAAGAAACCAAACAAGAATGAGTTTTGATTTACTTTTATAGAGATTATAGCTTGTTTGAGCATTGACTATGGTTAGAGAAACAGCATAAAAGATGAAGGTTAAAAATTAATGATGATGATAATGACAATGATGATGTCAACAATAATGAATATTATGATGCCAATGATGATGATGATGATGGTGGTGGTAATGATGACTAGGATGATCATCTTGATCATAATGATGTATATATATGCATATATATTCAAAATATAACAAATATTTTTGATGAAATATGAATTTTGAAAAAAATACTTTAGGATGTATGAATGTTTATGCAGTCCTGGTCACAAACCTGGCTACGTCTATATTTTATCAAACCTGGACCCAGCCCTAGTCAAATATTAACTCCAGTCACTTTCTATATAAAAAATTTTTCTAATTTGTAATTAAACAAATAAGTTTTAAAACATTAAAACTAAATTCTGTTGTTACACTCCTGGGTTTTTTCCATATAATAAAATTTTTTAATAAAAAATATTTCTGTCTCTTGAATATTTAATGGGTCCCTAATATTATACAAAAAAAAAAATTCAAAAATAGTAACTATTTTATTTAAATATTATAATTTTAGATTTTATTGAACAAAAACTATTGTTGTTTAACATTTTAAAAAAAAGTTTAAGCTGAAAGATTTTTAAAGAAATTATTTTTCGAAAACAATTGAGTACCCAATATTCAAGGGTCAGTTGCGACCCCCTAACATATTTCTTATTCTAAAGTTTTTTAAATCCAGTGTTATTATATAAAATAAAAAAATTGGGTTGTAACAGAAGAAAATTAAAAAAAAAGTAATTTTCACTGCACCTTAAAATAAAATCTTTCTAATACAATCTTATTGTTGCATATATTGCGGTATGTAAGAAAATGATGATAATGATGATGATAATAATGATAATGATGACAATGATGATGATGATCATCATCTTACCATAATGATAACATGATAACATGAATTTTGAATAAAAAAAATTCTTTAGGATGTATAAATGTTTATGCAGTCCTGGTAACAAAACAGGCTCCGGCTATATTATATTAATATTATTAATATAATACTAACATATATTATTAAATAATTTAATATTAATGGTTTCTATTCAATAGTTATTATTATTATTAAAATACTACTCAAATTATATACATGCAACAAATAAATCAATTTATCACATTTTTATTTCTTTAACCTCTATGTGAAGGTAGCCTCGATCGCTTTATCTCATAAATAATAAAAACAATTTTCGGCAAATACAGAGGATGCAGGTGGTGCTAGTAATTTAAGTGCTAACTCTTTTAGCAGTGGAAACTTCTTTTCATGTTTCTAATAATTTACAACATCATTATTTTTTTCTATAATTGAGTGATTAAAAGAAACATCAACTCCCTGAGCAGCTTTTAAAAAGGAGACTTGATCAAAATTCAATACATTTTTAACTCCTCTTCATACAATTTACAATGAATTTGTTTTGCGTAATTATGCAATGGAGTTGTACAAAATGACTTTTGACCACATTTATTATGTCTCCTGCTTATCTGCTCTCTATATGGAATGCAAATTGCTGTGAAATCACAGCTATCATAATTTTCAGAAAAACTTCCAAACAAAACTCACCATTTTGAAAGTTTATCTAAGTAATATTTTGTCATAAAAAATATTTACATTAGGATTTCAATTACATTATCTGGCCAGATAATTTTTAAATAATTGGGTAACTGATATCTGCTTACCCAAAAAAAAAAAAAAAAAAAAAAAATCAAAATATAACTTATCTAAAAATAATATAAAACAATTACTAAGGAAAAGTTATTGAGTAACAGTTACCTTTATTTATTTTTGAAGTGCATAAACCAATTTGCTAAAAATATATAAAAAATAGATTGGTTTATTTGATTAAAATAACGAAAAAAAACTCTTTATTTTTAACATGCTAACCTTGCAAATAGCATTAGGGTCTGAGAGTTCTGCAACAATCAAATCAACAATCTTATCAGAATATGTATCCACTAATTGATCACACTGAATAAACAAAATTAAAAAAACAAGGTGTTTGAAAACATCTTAGTTCATATAAATATCATATCATATCTAAATTGCTTATACCTCTGATTTGAGAGATGCTGGTATTATAGCACATACTTGCTCTAAAGCTTGTTTTACTTCAGCCTTGGTTTCATTTCCTTTTAAAATATCTACTAAAGAACTCATGGCCATTGTGCAAAGCTCACATGAAACACCATTAGGTTGGGTTTGTTTAACACGTAAATCTAATTTCGTCAACTTTATAACATGTTCTATAACATGTATTAAAAATAACAATTATATCCAAATTCAAAATTATATACACATACAAATTATATATATATATATATATATATATATATATATATATATATATATATATATATATATATATATATATATATATATATATATATATATATATATATATATATATATATATATATATATACACAAACATACATACATCGATATATCCATCCAGACATTCATAAATACATACAAATAAATAAATAAATATATATATATATATATATATATATATATGTATATATATATATATGTATATATATATATATATATATATATATATATATATATATATATATATATATATATATATATATATATATATATATATATACATATATATTTCTTTTTCAGCGCATTTCTAAAATATTTAAAAATTATTTAAATATCTAAACAGTTGTGGTTAAGTTGTCAAAAAATAAAACTATTCGCATGGTCAGCAATAGCACTCGATCACATGCCATTCCTGTCCAAGCCTGATACATATGCATATACTTTTTTATTATAACATGATAAAATCATTTCATATTAGTTACAAGGTGATCTTGCATACCTTATTTTATCAACTGTTTATAATGAAGAAACTTTATTATAAAAAGTGTGTATAATTTTTAAACAATTTTTAAAATCAATACAATAAGTTTTTATTAAAATATTTACTTAGTAATACTAAGTTAATTTAAAGTCAAATAGAGTCACGTACCTTTGTTCACTTGTGATGTACACAAACCAATAAGCTACAAAGAAACATAAAAACACATTTGAGGTAATCTATTGATAATGTCATACTAAAATGGCCATAGGCAGGGGTTTCATTTCACCAACTAAAGGTTTTGATTTGGAAGAAAAAATCTTGGTATGAATATTATCTATTTAAAAATTTTTGTTTTTATTTTCTTCTCCTTATTATAAAAAAAGTCTTTCAAAATTTAAAGTGTGTAAAATGTACCATGCAGTTCTATATATGCAGTCAACATTTTGTAAAATAATGATAGAAGGCTTGAGGGGGGATGTTCTAAAAGTGTGCTTATTAAAACTTTTAACCGAAGTAAAAAAGCATCTAGAAAAATAGAGATGTTCAAATAATATTTAAAACTTATTAAGGAACTTAAACAATATTATAAAACTACACTGTATAAAAAGTTTAGTATTATGAAAAACGTTACTAATGGTCCTTAAAAAGGCGCATTAATTTTAAAATTAACTAATAAAAATTTTTATTGGTTGATTTTAGAATTAACGGGCATTTTTACAGACTATTAATAATGTTTTTCATAATGCTAAACTTTTTATAAAGTTTTTATAAAGTATTTGTAAAAGCTCCTTAAGTTTTTAATAACATTTGAATGTACACTTTATATTTTCTAGATGCTTATCTACTTTTGTTAAAGTTTGGAATTACTAATGTTGTTTAAACAAAAAATGAACTTTAAAAGTTATAAGTGCTTTATAAAAGTAATAACTCTATTATAGTTTTATTACTTTTATAATGCAGTTAATGACAAGAGTGTTGTTACTTTTGCAGTCGTAAGTTTTTTGTTTTGTTTTTTATAGCTTTTTCCCTAACAAACTTATAATAATTTGCTCCTTAAAAACAAAGTACACGGCTTTACATAAACTAAAATTTTTAAAATATTGTTGAAAAATACAATTTTTTTTTCTGTAAACATTAAAAAAAATAGTTATTACATTCTGTTTAGCAAGATTTAAAATTGTAAAAAACTTTTAAAATAGCTTCAGCGTGAACCATTTAAATGTATTATATGACAAATTAGAATACATATTGCAGGCCTTGTTTCTACAGGTTTTTTTTGCAGAATGCTTAAGTGTTTGCATTTTTAATTAATTTAATAAAAAACAATTTATTTTAAAACATGTTTAATATGTTTTATCATAGCTTTTGTAAAAACTTTCTTAACTTAAAATTTTTTCAATTAAATAAATAAAAAATTACAAAACAAAGTGGTAAAAAGAAATATGTTCATTTTTCAAAAGTGTAATTTTTAAAAAGAAAGAATAATCAATTTTTTCATTATTCTTTATTTTATCTTCTTTCTCAGGAAACTAATCTGGAATAACATCAACTTTTTATAATGTTGATGTTATTTCTGCATTTTAAGACTTTTTTTTTTTTGTTATCCACCTCCCCAAGGCCAAGAGGGCCACTACAGATTAGGAGGCTACTAGTGGTTATAACCTTCTCTCAACTCTATAACTCCGAAACACGAACCTTGACGAACAAGGCCGCTGCGCGGAGAAACAAGTTAAGCGCAGTACTACCAGGGACGTGGTGGGAATCGAACTCTGACCCTCTCGCTTATGAAGCAAACGCTCTACCACTACACCACTACCGCACTTAAACTTATCTATTAATTTTTTAATAGCTATACTTAATTATTTGTTCCATTCTATTTCAGAAAACTAAAATAAAGAAAAATTATTTCAATCTTAGTCTGTTAAACAATCAATTTTGTTGATACGTAACCATGAGTATAGATTTTTTTGTTTGTAGATACTAAACCATGAGTGAATGTACTAAACCATGATGGAAATGGTCACTAAACCATGATGGAAAGGGTCACTAAACCATGACGGAAATGGTCACTAAACCATGACGGAAATGGTCACTAAACCATGATGGAAATGGTCACTAAACCATGATGGAAACGGTCACTAAACCATGATGGAAATAGTCACTAAAAGTATTAGTGATGATGTTCTTTTTTTTAATGTCAATTAAAAGTCACATATTTTTTTAACAATTTTTGTTTTTTTTAGATACTCAATTTTTTAGATACTCAATTTTAGATACTCAATTTTGTTTTTAGTTGACTAAATTATTTAGTTCAGTATTATTATTTAGATAATAACAATGAAGGAATGATTGTTTACTTTTTTAAAAAGTTTATATTTTATATTCTTGTTTATATTTAAATAAACAATCATTAATTTAAAACATAAAGAATTTAATAAAAAAGTTTTATCTGTATTTGTTTATTTGCATTATATAAACAGCAGTAACAATGACAGCAACAGCATCAGCAACAACAACAGGTTGACATTTATATGTGATGCCTCTACTCCTTTTTATCAAATCATAATTGCTATTTTTTGTTTTAGATTTATCTTACAATTCTTTTTCCGCATATTGCAGAATGAATAAAGAGCCCATATTCTATAAGGCTCATAGGGCGAATTTTTTTGAGAGAATAGCCCCTTTAGAACATCAGAAGAGAAGAGTGATGGGAAAACATTATGTTTCATTAATAACTTGTAACTTAGTAGTTTGTAAATCTGCTAATTATAACTGGAGTTGAATGTTTTTTGTAAATATATGTTTTTCTTTTTATATTTTGCTTTGCTTTGTACAACCACTTTATATTTTGTATATATGCAGTAACTGTAAATAATAAAATTTGTTTTGATAAATGATATTTTGTTTTAAAAAATATTTTTTTGATCTTTTTTACAAATAAGAATTTGTATTGTTTTCTTTGAAAAAATTAAAATTTGTTAAAAAAAATTTTGTTCCTTTTTCTCAACAAATTATGCTTATCAGGTGAATACCAGTATGCATCAGGTATATAACAGTATGTATCAGGTAACTGTGTTAACATGTCAGGTCAGGTTATTCTTCTACTGGTAACATGTAATCCAGTAAAATCTGCTTCATGTCCTGCTGTCTTGTAGGATATGCTTTTTTAGGCAATATATTTTCATATATTTATGTCAGGTTATCCTACTACTGGTAACATATAACCCTGTACAATCTGCTTCATGTCCTGCTGCCTTGTAGGATACACTTTTTTAGGCAAAGGCTAGGAGAAACCAACTCCAACTCATAACACCCCTTGCCTTAGGGCTCTTGATTAAGTAAAAGCTAGAGATGGTGTCTCAAAAAAAATACTCAATTTGGGCAGATGTAAAATGCATCCAGCTACTGCCTCGTAGAAGGCCTCCTAGGCAAAAACTTAAGGTGTAAACAGATTCTATTTGTTGACTAGCCTCGAATCCTTCTTCATCTATTAGGCTGGGGCAGATATATTCTTAATAAATTGTTTTCAGTAAAATATGCTGAATGCTAGATCTTCTTGACTCAATGCATGGGTTTTGCTCTGTTTTTATGACTAGGCAACTCATTCTATTATCTCCTGAGGGTACAGATCTAAAACTCAGTTTTATGGTTTTGAGGCCGTCTGGTAGTCAGGTATCCCGAACTCTGTGAAAGCTCTCAGAGAGGCTGATTCCATCAACAACTGAAAAATATCAAAGTATTAACAATACCATTTTGCGCATTGATGGTGTACTTTTAATGTGCATTGTCAAGGCCACATTTGGAGCCCTTTGTTACGGCTTAGGGGTTCATTAGTAGTAATTGAGGCAATTGCTTGGGCTATTAAACAGTGTACTGAGTAGTGTCTATGAGTCAAAATCTTTAACAAATTTAAAAATGAATAAAGTACTAAAAACTAGAAAACACAAAAAACCATCTTCACCACCAAGTTCTCTAAATCATTCACTAATATTTGTGGTCTTCGAAGTAACTTTTTTCTTGTTGAATCTTATCTCTTGCAAAGTTTACCACACCTACTTGCTCTTTGTCAGGCTTATTCAGGAAGCAAGAGCGATCGCTCTTGAATACTGACCACGGAAATTATATTTAGTTGCAAAAAAGGTTTTTTAGTTGTTTTGAAAACATTTAAGTTTATGTACATAACAAAAAAATTTTGTTTAACGGACATACATGGAAACATAATAAACTTTAATGTTCTCAAAACACCTTGGTGCGGAAGAATAAAAAGAATGTTCACGAACACTAAAAATCCGCCAAATTAACAAACAAACTAATTCTATTAGTTCTAAAAATACACTTACTAAGCAAAATAAAGTTCTAGAGTATTCTGTTGAAAAGTTTTAGAAATTATATTATTCACAATTTAAGATTTCTAGCAATTTAAATTGTTTTAAAAATATATTATCAATACTATGGCTTATTCTCGGAGCCACATCTCGGAGCCACATCTGCAAACCCATAAATCTTATAAACTATTATGATTTGTTTACAAAAATGTTTTAAATATATATTATTTAAATTGTCAAAATTTTGAAAGTTTATTATAAATTATAGATTTTATTAGTATATTCTTATTTTTTATTTAAAAAGTATGCATTTTTTATGTAAATGTAATTTTGTGTATCTATTTTTTATTGTAATGTAATCTTTTAAAGCAATTTTTATTATTTAATTTGTAAACAAAAATAATTGCGTTTTCAATGAAGTTATTAATAATCATTATAAGTTAATAAAACTAATTATGTAACAAACATATAAGAAGTTTCTAGTTACTAAACACAAACAATGTATACAAACTAATTCGCGGATGAACAAGCACTGCGCCTGAGGTCACGACAGAACACAAACTTATATAGCATATATAATATGAACGGTAATGTACTCGATGAGTCATCTACCCTTCATCTTCTAGGATTAACTCTTACTTTCTTTGGAGGATATTGTCAAGCAGAGAGTCAATGAAATATATGAATCTGACGAATACACTTGACAATATCCAGGAAAAAAAGACTTTGTTTCTGTGCCTATAAATAATGTTAAAGTTCATAAACAAAAACGCTTAATATAAGTTTGTTTAAAAGAACTTCATTTGGAATTTAAGAAGTTATACCCTGAACACAAAGTTGGATTCAGCAAGTTCTGTGAACTAAGGCTAAAGTGGTGCCTTACTGTTAATAGTAGTGGAAATCACTCAGTTTGTGTATGTTCTTACCATCAAAATGCTAAGTTGATGTGCTCTGTTCTTCCTAACAGCCATTTAATATACTACAAAGATTTAATGAAAGTATATAGATAGTCAAAACTGCATGTTTCATCTATGTTCCAACTGCCCTGGTAAAATAAATTTAAAGACTTACTTGGAAAATGTGTTTGAAAAGAATGATTTTGATTTTGATGATAAGATCACATATAAACAATTGGTGTCAACTGATCGAACTGCACTTATTACAGTCCAAACAAGCATTAGTGAATTTATTAAAACTTTAAGTGAAACTTTGTATGACTTTTGTCACCACCACTTTATCAAAGAAGCACAGTCTTCCTACTTATCAGAGGCCAAACAAACATTAGACCAATATACCTGCATTAATCTGATAGATTTTGCAGAGAACTATAGTTTTCTTGTACAAGATGCTATACAAGGGTTTTACTGGCAAGCCAATCAAGCTAGCTTACACCTATTTGCTGTTTATTACAAAGATGAAAAAGATCACCTTAAATGTGAATGCTATTGTTTAATTTCTGACCATCTTTGTCATGACCAATCAGCAGTCCATTGTTTTCTCATAAAGTTGCTCCCTATGGTCAAAATCAAACGACCCACAGTGGATAAAGTTAAATACTTCAGTGATGGTGCTGCGTCGCAGTATAAAAACTACAAATGTCTAATAAACTTAATTTATCATATTATAGATCACCAAATAAATGCTGAGCATCTACGTCACATGGCAAAAGTCCATGTGATGGAGTAGGAGGTACTATAAAAAGAGAAGCAGCAAAAGCTAGTCTAAGAGCAGCTATTACAAATCAGATTCTAACACCACAAGATCTGTACATGGGCTCAAAAAAAGCATCAAAGGTGTTAACATATTTTATCTTTCAAGTGATGATATCAATACCTATGAAACAACTTTTAACCTTTAGAAACTATATAAAGGGATGTGCACAGTTCCGGGAACAAGAAGCTATCACTGTTTTGCACCAGATGGAGAAAAATTGTTTTTACTAAGAATCTCTAGTGAAACTGTCTATGATACTCATGTGTTAAATGATGTAAATTTGATTTTAAAAAAATCCTTCAAATTTTTAACCTGGTATCAGGCTTGGTCGGGAAGCGGGTGCGATCGCACTCGATAACTGACCACGGAAATAATATTTAGTTGCGTAAAACCGCCCAGATTTTATAGTCGTTTTGAGAACATTTAAGTTTATGTATGTTTCCTTGTTTGTCCGCAAAATAATAAGTTCATTTTGTCGTAAATTTTAAAATATTTTGTTTTACGGACTTACATGGAAACACACATAAACTTGAATGTTCTCAAACATTGCGGAAAAATAAAAAAAGATTATTCGCGAACACAAAAAACCCGCTAAACCTACGAACAACTAATTCTATTGGTTCAAAAAATACTAACCGAAATTTCTAGAGTATTCAAAAAATACTAACCGAATGTCCTGAGTATTCTGTTGAAATATTTTAAAAAACTGTATTATTTGAATTTTGTTACGTTTTTGTTGAGATTTCTAGCATAAATTATTTTAAGAGTATACTATCAAACGAACTATAATTTTAACTCTTGGAGCTACATCTACAAAGCTATAAATGTTTTAAACTAACATTTGTTTACAATAATGTTTTAAATTTATATTTTTTAACTTGTCAACGTTTTGTAAATATATTTTAGATTTTATTAGTATATTCTTATTTTTTATATATAAGGGATGTATTTTTATGTATGTAATGTATTTTTATGTATGTAATGTATTTTTATCTATGTAATTTTATGTATGTGTATTTTATTCAAATGTAATCTTTTAAAGCAATTTGTCCGATTGATTTTGTAAACAAAAATACTTTCAATAATAACTGCGTTTTCAATGAAATTATTAATAGTCATCAAAGCTAATACAAATAATTATAACCACTAATCCATTTTCCTCAGTGTACCTGATAACTGATTCTTTCTCACAAGAAAGAAAATACGTTAAATTACTTTGTGAGGAGGAAGCGGAACTGCTTCACAATACCGCTGATGATGTTTAATGAGTGGGCTTCATAATTTTAATTAATATTTAAAACAGAGTTTTTAAGTTCTCAGAAATTGGTTTACTAACTTCAATTATTTTTGCTTCAGCCATTCTTACAAACTCGTTATACTTAAAGTTACTTTTTTCTGTTTTAAATACTAATTAAAATTATGAAGCCCACTCATTAAACATCATCAGCGGTATTGTGAAGCAGTTCCGCTTCCTCCTCACAAAGCAATTTAACGTATTTTGTTATTTTCTATCTAGCTAATTGAATTTCTATAGTAACTCAATGATTTAATTATTTCATTTGTTCATCTTATTAAGAAAAATTGTTTCAAATGTGTTAAACTTTTTAAACTACACGAAGCATAAAACAGTTATTGAAAAACTTTTTTATTTATAAATAATTCATCTGGTTGAATCTTGTTGGACTTTTCAGGGCCGGGGGCTACATTATTTTGGCGGCTTTTTTTGTGCCACAGTGTAAAAAAGACTTAAAAAAATACTGAATGGTCCTTTTGACTATTTCCCCTAACATTATGAGTCCCGGGGCTATAGCCCTACTACCTCCACCCCACCTCCTCAATCCAGCACTGGAAATAAGACATAAGTATATAAATAAAAATTATATATACTCCTTGATAAATCGAAGAACATTTGTTTCTTTATAGTTGTTACTTTATATAAAAAATGTTGCTTTATTTCATAAAAAAAGTTATAAAAGAGCAACGTTTCAAAAAAAAAATGCTCTTCGCGTTTTTTCGTGTTAAAAGCTATTTTTCTTTTTTTAACTGTCTCTCGTCAGTCCAGTTAATCTTATTGCACTTTTTTATTTGTTTTTGAAATGTTCTCAAAACGACAAAAAAATCTGGCCGGTTTTTTGCAACTAAATATTATTTCCGTGGTCAATTATCAGGTGCGATCGCACTCGCTTTCTGACCAAGCCTTCCCGGTATATATTGCATGCTTTTACAAAGAAGAATGGTACATAGGGCTTGTGGTTGATATTTGTAATGAAAACCAAGACGTTAATGTGAAGTTTATGCAAAGAATCAAATTAAACTTAAAACAGACAAACCATGCACAATCAAGTCAGTGTTGGGTTCCATTTGACAAGATAATATGTCAAATAAGTGTTCCATTGATTAAAAGTATAAGTGCTTGTGACTATATTCTTGCTAGTAATGACTATGACAGTATTATTTATTTATTTTTTTTAATGTTGATTTTAGGTGCCCCAAGAAGTCCATACGGTCTTATCACTGAGCACCGCAGAAGAGCATTTTATTAGGAAGTTCAAGCCTCCTTCCCAACCGATGTTGCAAAACTTGCCCAGGGTGGGGTTTGAACCATGGATCTTATGTTCCTGAGGCAAGTGCGCTACCACTGCGCCACGGCTGCAAATTTATGAGTTATATAAATCAGAATAAGCTAATTAGTTTTATGTATACATACTTTTTCTTTTCACTGGTTATCTTAGTTATAAAACTTGAGGTATAAATTTTGTATGTGGTAAGTGGTATTTATTTGTACTCCTTTTAAAAAATTATCACTCTCAAAAGGCTACAATCATGTCATAAAATAGAGTATAGGTCTTTAAATTTTTTTTGGTGATTGTCTATATATAGAACCTCAACATTAAAAAGTTTTATATTTTATTTCAACTGTTTACGCTACTTTATATGCCAGCAAAGTCGATATAATTTATCATAATATAAAAATTTATTATTTGTTTTGATTTATTAATAGGCTGCTGCATGCGCTAAGTTATTTTTTAATGCATAATTTTGATTATTCTAACAAGTGGTGACCCTAAGTACACAAAGGTAACAAAAAAAAAATAAATAAATAAATATATAAATAACTCAAAAACTGTAAAAAAAAATCAGTTAAAAACAACTGCAATAATGGATTATTTGGGTGAAAAACTATTACCCTACAAAGTTCAGGTGATCACCATCTTTATTTAAAAAGTTATGGTTTGTCAAAAATCAAAAAAAACTGCTGTAATACACATTTTTCTGATTTTGGTCATTTTTAATTCAATCATAACTTTTGAACTAACTGGTCAATCAAGCTGGAATTTTCTGGATTGTATTTTTTTCCTAAGATCTGTGTGTGATCAAAGTTTAAAGCAAATCTGAGATGGTACTCTGGGGAACTTTCAAAAAACTAGGTGATTTAATATGGAATATCCCTGATGCCCTTTCTTTTTTAGACAAGGTACAAAAACATATTGTGAACATAGTTAGACCTGCTCTTACAGCCTGTCCTCATCTATTTTGCACACTTAAAATTAAAAAATGCTGACTTAAATCCTAATAGTTTCTTCAAAAAAATTAAAAAAAAAGGTTTTTTTATTGCCTTGATAAAATTTAAACATATCTAGTTAACCGACTATACCGTATATATATATATATATATATATATATATATATATATATATATATATATATATATATATATATATATATATATACATTTACAGACTATTTGCTGACATATTTCTATATAATTTTTTTAGAAATAAATAATAATAATAAAATAAAACGATTGCTACCCTAACCCAAACTAAAAAACCCATAAATCAAAAAAGAAAAAATTTTAAATGCTTACCTTGCAAATAGAGTCTGGATTTGCTAGCTCTATTATCAAATCAACAATCTCGTCACTGTAGCTATCAACAAGCTGGTCACACTTATAAAAAAAAGTATAATACAAATATTGTGATATTTTTTTAAAATATTTTTTTGATAAACATGTACCTAAACTATACACCTCAAATAAAAATACCTCTGATTTGACAGATGGTAAAATACCACACACTTTCTCTAGTGCTTGTTTTATTTCAGCTTTTGTTTCATTTCCTTTTAAAATACTTTCCAGAGATTTAATAACCATTGTGCAAAGCTCACATGTAACACCCTGCTTAACACCTTGCTTGACACCCTGCTTCAAAGTCTCTGTCATAACTATAAATTTAAAAGATTTTAAAACTTTTGAAATTAAAGTTAAACTATCATTATTGTATCTTCAGGATAAAAATAAAAACTAAATAAAACCTCTAGTCACAATATTTATAATATGCAGGATTGTAGTTTTCTTAATACCAGCATTTTTTAAAAAACACTGGTTTATATTTTAAATTAATATTATAATTAAAATTATTTTTTTTTTATATTTAAAATTATTTTTTTGCTTTCTTTTTTTTCCATTAAGGTTAAAATTGAAATATTTACTGTATTCATCTTATACTATTTAATTACTTAAAATTTAAGTAACATTTAAAATGAGATTCTCAGAGTCAGGTAACATTTTTGATGAAAAAAAGGCTAGTTTGTTGCCCAAAACTGGAAAGAAACTCTTTTCTCAAAACTGAATAGAAACTCTTTTGCACCACAATATTCCTAAACTTCTAGAAATCCTTACATAATTGAATAATAAAATTACAGTGTGCTTGTTAAAAAATTTGTATTTTTTACCTAGGTTTACTTATAGTTCTTCATTGCCCAGTAGAAAAATGATTTTTTTATTTAATTTACAGTCTGTGTCACAAGTCTTAAATAAAAGGTAAAAAATAAATTCCAGCATTCCGGACAAATATTTAGCAACACCAGCCAGAACGGAATTCCGATACATTCCTAATTATTGGGTATTATAATAATATTATAACTAACTGGGTATTATAATAATATTATAATCCAAGGTTGAGCTGTTTTCAATGAGAAAACTTTAATTAAAAAGTAATCTTAATTTTTTATTTAAACTTTTTATTTTTAATTTTTAATTTATAATTTTTATTAATGACCAATGATTCTATATAAAAATATTTCCCCTTTTTTAATTTCTAAACATTAAAATTAAACAAATAAGTTCTTAAATAATAAAAATATATAAATTTAAAAAGTTTTAATTTGAAATGACTTTCTGATTAAACCTGAAAAATAATGAAAAATTGTTGAGATTTGTTTACATTTAAATGTCACAATATCATATATTATTCTGGTTTTAAACCAAAAAGTATCCAATTTATTTAACTTTCAATTTCTGACTACATGACCACAACTACATGACCACAACTACATGACCACAACTACATGACCACAACAACATGACCACAACTACATGACCACAACTACATAATCACAACTACATGACCACAACTACATGACCACAACTATATGACCACAACTACATGACCACAACTACATGACCACAACTACATACAGCAGGGTGAAGTGAAAATTACTTTGAAAATTACTTTTTTTTTGAAAACATGCATCTTAGTTCATATTTTTTTAATTATTTTGAAAATTCTCTTACACTTCTAGGTTTTTTCTATAAAATAGAATAACACTGAACTTAAAAATTTTTTAATAAAATATATTTTTAGAGAACCCAATTATTTCTCAGAAGTTTTATATGCAAAAACACATTTTACACATTTTAAATTACACATTTTATATGTTATAATTATAAACTTTATTAAACAAATCATTTTTTATCAATTTTTATTAAAAAGTTTTTTCAAAAAAAAAAAAAAAAAAAAAAAACTTTTAAATATTTTTTCATAAAATATAATTATTAACTTTGAAACTTTTATAAAATTTTGCTTTCTTTGAGTGATTGACTTTCAAATTTTTTTTTTAAGAAATGTTTAATTACACCTGGAACAAATGTTAGATTAAATAAGTTAATTTAAACATTTGATGAATTTAATATTATTAAAAACCTCAGTAGATAAATTCGAACATTTATACAATTAATCTTTTTATGTTGATTGACAGATGGTAACAAACCGCACGCGTAGATATAAATAATATATATATTTATTTGTATCTTTATAATGTGAGATATTTTACTGTTTTAAATTAAAACATTGAACTTATCAAACACAAATATAAAATGATAGCAATAAAAATAATATTTATCAAAAAACAAATCAAAACACATACCAAGAAAAAAAAATTTAAGGTTTTTTTATTGAGTAAGAGTTACCTTTTTTTATTTTTGAAGCACATAAACCAATTTCCTAAAAATATATAAGAAATATATTGGTTTATTTGATTTAAAGAACAGAAAAAACCCCTACATCTTAAACTTGCTAACCTTGCAAATAGCATTTGGATCTGAGAGTTCTGCAACAATCAAATCAACAATCTTATCAGAATATGTATCCACTAATTGATCACACTAAACAAAATTAAAAAACAAGGTTTTTGAAAACATGCGTCTTAGTTCATATTTTTTAAAAAAAAAAAAAATTATCAGCTAAATTGATTGTACCTCTGATTTGAGAGATGCTGGTAGTATACCACATACTTTCTCTAAAGCTTGTTTTACTTCAGCCTTGGTTTCATTTCCTTTTAAAATATCTACTAAAGAACTCATAGCCATTGTGCAAAGCTCACATGAAACACCTTTGGGTTGGATTTGTTCAACTGTTAATTAAATAAATTATGGTTAATAAATATACCCAATACAAAATTACATATATATATATATATATATATATATATATATATATATATATATATATATATATATATATATATATATATATATATATTTGTTATTCACCTCCTTAAGGCCAAGAAGGCCACTGCAGATGAGGAGACTACTTAATAGTGGTTATTACCCTCTCTCAACTTAATAACTCTGAAACACGAACCTTGACAAACAAGGCCGCTGTGCAGAGAAACAAGTTGAGCTAGGTACTACCAGGGATGTGGTGGTGATCGAACTCGGAACCTTACTATACCACTACGGCATAAACATATATGTGAAATAAAACACAAGATATGATTAGATGTCACTCAATAAGATGCATATTTAATTTTTAGATTTTTTATGCAACATTTATAATGACTTTACTAAGGTCCTTATGAAATCTATGTCAATTACAAAACTTTTCTTCTTCCATTTTTTATTTTCTCAACTGTCTTAATATTTTAATTGCTTTACTAAAATATTTTGGTTGAATTTATTCTATTAAGATTATATTAAGATTAAGTAAAAACGGAATATAAGTCAATCCAAAACATTATTATTAAAACACAATAAAATCATATCACATTAGTTACAAGGTGATCATAAATAACTTAACTTATCAATTGTTTATGATGAACGAACTTTGTAATGTCTTTTTTTTAACTTTAACTTTTTTAACTTTACTATTTATTTTTTTTTATTTTAATTTTTAAATTTATTATATATTATTAATAAAGGTCTGTCTAATTCTAAATAACTTCAAAATAAAAAAGCAATATCAATTATTTTTTATTAGAAAATTTACTATGGAACTCCTGAAAAATCAAGTAAATGTAAAGTCAAATAGATTCACATACCTTTGTTTACTTGTGATGTACACAAACCAATAAGCTACATAGAAACATAAGAACATATTTATAATCTATTGATGTTATACTTAAATGGTCATAGATGGGCGTTTCAGCTCATACATAAACTAAAGGTTTAGATTAGAAAATAAAAATCTAGGTATGAAGGTTAATTTCCATAATGCTAAAAAAAACGTATCAAAGTGTGCCTTTCAAAACTGAAGTATAGTAGCAGACTTTTGTAAAACAATGGTAAGAGAAGACTTTAGTACACAGGTTATTTGAGGAAAAGGTTTGGGGATGCAGTAAATACATATGAACACTATTATGTGATTTTTTTAGTATAAGATTATCTTCTGATGTTTTTGATTCTTAAGTAGAAAGTATAATATAAATATAATTTTGAAAAAATATATATACCATGATATATAGATATTAAGTATAAAAATATATATCATGCATGCTTCATGCAATGTAATTTTGGGCATTACACCACAAGTTTATTTAAAAAAAAAAAACTATAACTGCATAAAAAGTATAAAAAATCACCAACTTAAAAAACAGTATTTTTTACTTATATAAACGCTTATATCTTTAAATAAAAAAAATATAATGGGCTTACAATGCACACTGTATCTTGTGTGAGGATAGACATGGTGGGAACTTAGCAACTCTAGGTAATTTTCATTATTTAATTACTCTTGTAATTTCTCCAATAATAAATTTAATTAAAAAATTAAAAAAAATTAAATGTTAAAACTGTATAAATTATTGTTAAAAAAGAATTATTAAGATTGTCATGTTAGTTTAGTGAAGTTTTGAGAACAAGTGAAACGTGGGCTGTAAAAAGTCTTGATTATTCTAATACAGCAGAAGCTGTACTTTTATTAGGTAAACAATTTGTAGACATTGAAAATCTACAGGAATAATGAATAGCAAGTAAAAAAAGTAATTTTTCTGGATTAAAACGCATATCCTCTAACTCCTCCAATATAAAAAAAGCTATGGTATCTGGCATGTGCCTAAAGTGGTATAACCAATATTTTAAAATTATTGGTGATTTTGAAGAGTGCATTTTTTGGAAAATAATGAAATAAAACAACAACCTAAATCTAAAAACTCAAAACTCAAATAAGTAAAACTTTAAATGCTTACCTTGCAAATAGAGTCTGGATTTGCTAGCTCTATTATCAAATCAACAATCTCGTCACTGTAGCTATCAACAAGCTGGTCACACTTATAAAAAAAAAGTATAATACAAGTATTGTGATATTTTTAAAAAATATTTTTTTGATAAACACGCACCTAAACTATACACCTCAAATGAAAATACCTCTGATTTGACAGATGGTATCAAACCGCACACTTTCTCTAGTGCTTGTTTTATTTCAGCTTTTGTTTCATTTCCTTCTAAAATACCTTCCAGAGATTTAATAACCATTGTACAAAGCTCACATGTAACACCCTGCTTAACACCTTGCTTGACATCCTGCTTCATAGACTTTGTCATAACTGTAAATTTAAAAGATTTTAAAACTTTTTAAATTAAAGTCAAACTACCATTATTCTATTTTTCAGGATAAAAATAGAAACCAATCATGTTTGCTCTTAATCTTTGTTTCATTCTTTTTATATATATAAAGAAGCAGAAAGTTTTTTTTCAATAAATGAGTTATTTTATTCAAAAAGGTTAAAAGAATCATAACAAATTTAATGTCTAAAAATAAAAGACAAATAAATTAGGAAAATATTTTTCAACCAGTGTTTTAAAAAATGCTAGTAATAAAAAGAAGCAACCATCCTGCATATTATAAACATTATCAAGACTGGGTATTATAATAATAAAGCTACAACTTTAGGTAAGACTAAATACTCATATTCCACGCAATAAGGCCAAAAAGCAAACATGAAAATTGAAATAAAAGTAATGAAATGTAAAAAAATACTGTAATATACTTCTTTTCTTTTAATTTGATATTAATTAAATAATAATTTCTAAATAAATTTAGAAACAGTTTCATTGTTTTTGTTTTGAAGATTTAATAAAAAAGTTATCTAAAAAGAATACTAACATTACAGTTAGCTACAAAGGATAATATGAGCTGTTTTTAATTGGAAAAACATGGTTTTAATTATAAGACAATCTTTATTTTCTATTTATATCACCCTTTTCATTTATAAGCAAAGATTCTATTTTTTAAATCCAGTGTTATTTTATAGTATATAAATCATGGGGTGTAACAGAAGAATTTTCATCCCACTTTAATGTAAAGTTGTTCATATGTAATTTTATTGTTGAATATATTGCTGTATATAAGAAAATATATTAAAATATATCTTAATTAGAATTTGGGTGCCCAGTACACTGACATTGCTGTATAAGAAAATATAATAAAATATATTTTAATTAGAATTTGGCCAGTACACTGACATTGCTGTATAAGAAAATATATTAAAATATATTTTAATTAGAATTTGGGTGCCCAGTACACTGACATTGAATACATAGCTGTATAAGAAAATATAATTTAATATTTAAATTAGAACTTGGGTGCTCAGACACACTGACAAAAATATCTTAGTATAATTTTTAATAGGAAACTTTTTATTGATGAAATTATTTCTAATAAAATACAAAAACAAAATATATTATCATTAAATGTTTGTCTCCAATAAATGCTACTTTATGCAGTATATACATTTAGGTTTGCTAAGTTAATAAAATCAAACATTTGATGAAGTTAATATAATCAAAAACTTCATGCAGTAGATACATTCAAACATTTATTCAATCAAACTTTTTGTTCAAGATATAATTAATATATTTTCTTTTGTATTTTTATAAGATATTTTACTGTTTTAAATTAAAACATTAAACTTATCAAACACACATATAAAATGATAGCAATAAAAATAATATTTATCAAAAAACACATACCAAGAAAAAAAAAGTCTTTTTTATTGAGTAAGAGTTACCTTTTTTTATTTTTGAAGCACATAAACCAATTTCCTAAAAATATATAAGAAATATATTGGTTTATTTGATTTAAAGAACAGAAAAAACCCCTACATCTTAAACATGCTAACCTTGCAAATAGCATTAGGATCTGAGAGTTCTGCAACAATCAAATCAACAATCTTATCAGAATATGTATCAACTAATTGATCACACTAAACAAAATAAAAAAACAAGGTTTTTGAAAACATGCATCTTAGTTCATATTTTTTCAACAAAAAAAATTATCAGCTAAATTGATTATACCTCTGATTTGAGAGATGCTGGTATTATAGCACATACTTGCTCTAAAGCTTGTTTTACTTCAGCCTTGGTTTCATTTCCTTTTAAAATACCTACTAAAGAACTCATGGCCAATGTGCAAAGCTCACATGAAACACTCTTGGGAGAAACATCCTTGTGAGAAACACTATTGGGTTGGGTTTGTTTAACTTCTAATTTAAAAAGTATTACAACTTACAAAAATTTTACAACTAAATCAAAAGGCAAATAAAAATAGCCAAGTTAGTATGGCAATTAATAACTAAAAAATCTTTCAAAAACTGTAATAAACTTCTTATTTGATGAGTAATTAATGTTATTATTTTCACGTGACGATGCAGTAAGTAAAAACAGAAAAATATTTGAAAAAATATAAAAAAGAAATTTAAAAAAAAAAGAAGAAGAAATTCAATAATATTATAAAGAGCTTATTTAATTTGTAATTACAAAATGTTTAGTTCTAATTTGTTTAACTGTTTTCTACTGTTTGATTAAGCTAATAAACTTTATACTGAAAGAGTTTTATAAATAAAATAAAATAAAAAAAACCTTTCTGGGCTTTCAACATCACATCTGCAACCTAAAACACAAAATTGTACAAATAAAATTGCAAAAATTACAAAAGTTTGTGTAAGTTTTATTGAAGAAAAAAAGATTTTAAAATTTACAGGAATGCAGAGAAAGTAGAAGAAATATTTTGTTTATATATATGTTAGTGCATACAATTCTAAAAAATTACCATGTTAATCACTAAATCTGAATTCTTCATTGAGAGTCCAAACTCATTAATCATAGGAACCCCTCTCACTAAAGGGATAAATGATGCTTTGCATAACTGAAGTAGAGTACAAAAACTGATGGGACGCCCAGTATAGTCAATCAACCAATCAAAAGCTTTAGAAGCAAAAGTATCAACCAATACAGTGCACTGAATAAAATAAATTCAAATCACAATCAAATGAAAAACCACTTCAATTATTTTGAGATTATGTAAGTAATAAACCCTTATATAATGTTTCTCCATCCAAAAAAATAAGAGTTCAAAAGAATATTTAGGGGTTCACCTTATATATCTTATAAGCTAAAAAAAAAAATCATAATTTTAAAAGAATTTTCTTTAAATGAAAGACTTCCAGAAGTGAAGCTCTTAATCAATACATATTAACTTTGCTGCATGCAAATAAAAAGAAAGAAAAAAAAAAAAAAGAAAATACATGAACTGTATTTCAATAGAAAAAATAAAAATAAAAAACATAAACTGTATTTCTATAGAAATATAAAGGACAACTTTCAAAGTTATTATTTCTGTTGATTTTAAAAACATTTGATCAATATTATGATTTTAACTTTTAAACAACAGAATTATAAAATTTAAAAAAACAAAAATTATAAAATTTATTTATAAAGGACAATATATATATATATATATATATATATATATATATATATATATATATATATATATATATATATATATATATATATATAATATATATATATATATATATATATATATATATATATATATATATATATATATATATATATATATATATATATATATATATATATATATATATAGACAGCAGACTTTTTATATATATATATATATATATAAATAGTCTGCTGTCATGTTCTTCAGACTATTTCAGTATGACTACAGTGATAATAATAAAAAAATTTGTTTCATTTGTTTTCCAGTGAAATCATAAACTTAAACAATGTTTATGATGTCACTGGAGCATTTTTTTTTTTTTTTTTTGCAAAAAAAGCACTTAAGAAAAGTATTTACTCAATTATTTTTAAAACATTGTTTCTAGGATCTTTTTTAGAAACTTACATAGTAACTTCAAAAGTTACTATGTAAGTTTCTAAATTTTATTATCAAATAATTAAAATAACTATATTAACAAAAATATTATTTAATTACATCTTTCATATTATCATATCTTCTTCTTAGAAAGTTATAACTTAAGTTTTTTCATTTTTTGGGGGTTTTAACATTTTTTTGGGGAGTTTTTTTTCTTCGTTTTTGTATTATCAATATATTTTTATTTACATTTACATTCTATGGAATGTATTAACAATTCTAAGAAATGTATATCTATAAGGAATAAAACTCCTTATATCCTTATTCTAAGGAATTTATTAATTAACATCCCTGTGTAATATATACAAGGGTGAATGCTTTGTTGGGGTATGTTTTTGTTCCAAGAGGCTAGTAAAGATTTTATCTATGACAGTCTGGGGTGTAACATCCATATTACAAGACAAATTTTTCCAAGGACTAAAAAAAAACCAGGGCAGTACCCTGCCAAGTGATAGCCCAGGCAGTAGCCCTGCAAAGTGACAGCCCACGCAATAGCCCGGAAGAGTGATCAAACAGTTATTACTTACAAAAGATTGTTCAGTAGTAAAATCATGTTTTGAATTATAAAGATTTAATTCCTTGTAATTATTTTAAAGAAACTTTTGAAAAGATTATTAAGTAATTATACACTACATTGCGTTATATAATTTTACTAAATGTAAAAAAAGAAGCTTACTTGAAAGTAATTATACACTAGATTGCATTATATAGTTTTACTAAACGTAATAAAAAGGAGCTTAAATCGAATTAGATGTGTAAGCTTGCAACTCAAAAAATTTTGAAGTAGGACTATAATTTTATTTCAAAGTGAAACAATAAATTTATTTTAAAGTCAAACAATAATCTTATTTTAAAGTGAAACAATAATGTTATTTCAAAGTGAAACAATAATTTTATTTTAAAGTGAAACAATTATGTTATTTCAAAGTGAAACAATAATTTTATTTTAAACTGAAACAATTATGTTATTTCAAAGTGAAACAATAATTTTATTTTAAACTGAAACAATTATGTTATTTCAAAGTGAAACAAAAATTTTATTTTAAATGCGGAAGAATTATATTATTTAAAAGATTGTAGTTGCATTTTAAATCACGTTTCCTTCTCAATTCAAAATGTATTTAAAAATGACATTTTCTTTTTAATTCAAAATGTTGATGCATCATTTTTTTAAATATTATTATCACATTTTGAATAACGTGAATGGCCACGTGGTGAATGGGCACATGAATAATTAACAATGATAAACTTTTTCTTTGTTGAAATAAATTTTTATTTAAACTTAGTGAAACAACTGGGGAAAAACCTTATATTTTTCCTTCAGGCATTTAATTAACTTAAGAAGAAAAAGATATTTGGTGGTATGGAATGGAACACAATATTTATTTTAGCTTCATTTTTTATATATTACAATTTACACAGCAAACAACATTTTTGAATTTGTGTGCTTTAAATACATCACACTTTTGGGATGGAAATGGATCACATGGCTAAATTTTTTGCATTCTTGTTTAATGAACCAACCTTTAACCGACTAATTTTAATCAATTTAAATACATCCATAATATCAGTCTTCAAGATATACTGTAACTCATGTTACTGGTTTTTTGATTTAGATGCTTTTATTTTGAAGATTTAGTTTTGTTATAGATTTCAGCTCTTGAAGATTTTTAAAACATCAAAAAATCCGATTCAACGCAATTATAAAATAGTATGACACATGTAATGCTAAGTTTTTATTTATTTGAAAAAATTTGAGAAAAAAGATATTCAATAAAAATATAGCGCATGCTTTTTTTATATTTCTTTATTGTTTAAATGTTTTAATTTTCTGAGTTAATTACAAAATTATCATTGAAATTTAATTGTTTTGTAAGGAAAGAAGCTTTGAATATTTTTTCTATTTACATATATTCTTTATAAATAATATTTATGCAACATTTTTATTTAACATATATTTATGCAACATAAATTTTATCTTGAAAATAAAATAAATATTTTTTTATCAATATCTTTATAAGATAAATATAAACTGTTAAATTATATCTTTGAATAAGGCATAATAACAATTAACTTTCTACACATCATTTAATTAACTTTGTATACATCATTTAGAATTTACTTTTAAAAAAATTTTAGTTGATGTCATATTAAAAAGTACTTACAATTTGCTTGTAGGCTTCATTTTGCACAAGAGAACAACTGTTCTTTAATTCTGATATTATTTCATCTTTTGTACCTTTATTTGAAATTATTAGATGTAGTGTTCCCACATACTGTTGGCAAGTAAGACAGTAATCTGTACCATCCAACATTAGCTATTAAAAAAAGTCATGCACACATATTTTCAACTTTTTATCTTATTTTTATTTATCATAAAGGTTTTATAACTGTATTTTTTTTTAAATTTAATGTCATATAACTCTATTACATGACATTAAATTTGTCACATTTTATTATGTAGCATTTATCTTTGTGTTAAATTTAATATCAAATATATGACAAAATTATAAGATATTAAATTATCATATTTAAAGATAATAAAATTGTTTTATATTAAACAGCGCCATACCCACAACAGTTTGTGCAGTACCGCTTATGCAATTTTTTTATCCCTACCCTTCTTTGCTCTTTATCTAGCGCAGAGGCTTCTGCTTTGTGTAGAGGAAATAAGATTAAGAAAGTCCACCCTCAACATTAGCATCAAATGATGTGATCAGCAAAAAAAATGTTACAAACAATATGTTGTTGTTGATAAATGTTACTAACAAAAGTTTAAACATGCTTTATAGTTTAAAAATATCTTTAAAACTTTATCATCTCTATATCTTTGTAAGGCCAACATAAACCTAGTTTCGGAGTTCTTCTTGTAAAACCCAACATAAACCTAGTTTCGGAGTTCTTCTTGTAAAACCCAATATAAATCTCGTTTAGGAGTTCTTCTTGTAAAACCCAACATAAACCTTGTTTAGGAGTTCTTCTTGTAAAACCCAACATAAACCTCGTTTAGAAGTTCTTCTTGTAGAACCCAACATAAACCTTGTTTAGGAGTTCTTCTTGTAAAACCCAACATAAACCTTGTTTAGGAGTTCTTCTTGTAAAACCCAACATAAACCTCATTCATATAGATAATAAAATTATATGATCTTAAATTTAATATATTTAAAGTTTTTTTTTTCTGCATTAGTATCAAATGCTCAAGAAAAGTCTTTTTAACACAACAGCACTTGAATTTTTAACACAACTTCACTTTTTAAAAAAATTTTGTTAAGAACTTTTTAACAAATTTAAACACTTCGCATTATTATGAAAACCTTATTTATTATCTTTTTAACATCACTTAAACTTTTATGAAAAATTTATTGTGTCATTATATTAGAACTAAAGTAAATATCATTACTTTAACTTTAAGAAATAAAATATAGCAAAAATTTGCTAAAAATATAATCTTTTTTGAACTAAAAAGTAGAAAATAAACATTCTAATTTAAAATTAATAGTTCAGTAAGACAGGTTTGCACAAAATTTATTTTGAAACATACCTGTTAATCTTTAGTTTATTGAACTATTAAATTTAAATTAAAAAGTTTATTTTTTAGTACAAAACCAATCTATTTTAATACTATTATTAAACAGTGTTCAGACTACAAGAAATAAGAGGAAATGTTGTAATTAAGTTCCCTAGTTCAAAGCAACATTAGTGCACTATTGGTACAATATTTATCTTGATGTATGTATATGTAACAATGTAGTGAGAACATTATTTGTAAGAACGCACAAATAATGAGCTCCTAAAATAAAACATCAAAATTTACAGAAATCTTACTGAGGAGGACTTAAACCCAAATGCTATCACTCACACCTTAAAAAAAGAGCATAATTACATACACAGTACATATAAGTGAATATATTGATGACAACAAATAAAAATCAAATTTGCGGACAAGTTACTAGATGAAAAGTTCTGGCCACGTGAAAGAAAAAATTATAAAAAAGTAAATATTGTATCATTACGTTAGTTTTAAGAAAAAAAAAAGTAAAAAGTATCAAAAAAAAAAATAAATTACATCTTTTTTGGCATCAATAAAAGACAATGAATCTGTGCATAATCCAAATTGAGTGCAGGATGCTTGAGCATCTGATGTAGTCATTACAATATATTCAATAATCTTAGTTGAATAAACACCTACTATGCTATTGCACTATATAAAAAAATTAAAAACATGTTTAAAAACTTTATATTAAATTACTTCATAGTAATTTTTAAACATTTTTATTAAACTTACAGCATCTCTGACTGAACTTGGGAACATATCACACTCTTGTTTTAAAAATGACATTATCATAACATAAGTTTCATTTTTTTCAATAAATGCATGAAGCATATTAACTTCTTGCTTACATGTTGCACATAAATCAACTTCTTTAGTCTATAAAGAAAATTAAGATGACTTTAATGAGATCATATTTACAATAAAAAAACTTCCATTTCAATTAAGTTATTATTCTTATCTTGAATATGACAAATTTTGTAGTGGGCTTGGATGTTCAAAATGCTTTTTTTATGAGGCATTTTGAAAGGAATTGGTGTGTATGACATGATTTGTAGAGGAAAAATAGGATTATAGTAATGAAAATTGTCTTATTAAAATATAAACTATTTTTACAAAATATTTAAAATGATTACACTTTTTCCTTTTAGCCAAACATGATTTTCACAATAGTTGGTTGCTTGACATTTGATTGCAGTGGATTTGCTTTGACACCAATAAGATGGACCTTTTAATGAGCAATCATTCTCCACAGTAAAACTGAACACTAAAATTTGAAAAAAGTATATAATGGTATTGAACAATATATCAATTATATGTTATTGATATCAAGCAGAAATGAACAAGTTATAGTTGCACCTACATGAGTGTAAATCATAGGTGTATCTATGTACTAATTAGTGTATCCATGATACATAAGTGTATTAGCGTGTACTAATCATAGGTGTAAACTGCATGTAATGTACTAATACTGGGTGCAAACTGCATCCACTCATAATGGGTGTGAGCTGCACCCAATATACTAATCAGCCATGCAAGCTACACATAATGTATTAATGAGTAAGAATTGCACCCAATATACTAATTATGGGTGTAAATTATTATAAAAATTTTTAAACATATATTAAACCATTTCTCTTCTAACATATCTTGTATTAAAAACAATAAAGGAGACTTTTTTTTGTTTGTTTGTTGAAAAATTTGTTGCAGGCCTTGTTTTAAAGCGTTACGCCTAGAGCGATTTACGTACGCCTTAAGCGATTTTTACATACGCGTAGAGCTGTTTTGGTTAAGCTACTTTTTATCATTTTTTAACTTTTAAATTAGCGGTAACATAAAAGAAGTAACTAATTTTTAAAAAAACCACATTAACTTTTGAATAACGATATGTAAAAATATTTATTAGAAAAAAAAAAATAACTTTTTATGGTGACATATCATACGTTTTAATAACATTTAATTTTACGCTTAACTTTTTATTCAAATATTTAGTAACATGAAAAATTGTTCGTCAATCCTTAGCTACAAATTTTTTGCAAATGTTTTTAATAAAAAGTAGTAACTTTTTAAAGTTTTCAGTAAAAAACTTTTAAAAAATCTATATTTCAAACTTATTAATACAGAATATAAATGTTTTTTGTAATATAAATTTTTAAAGAGTTTTTTACTAAATTCATATTAAAAAACATTTGCAAAAAATTTGTAATTAAGGGTTGACATTTTTTTAATATATCAAAAAACGTCTTAATATTTTTGTTATCATGATAACAAAAGTATCAAGACATTTTTCAAGATATTAAAAAAAATGTGCCAATCTATTTGTATTTTTCTAAAAATTACTTCATTAATTATTACTCTTTGCTTTTCTTATTAGTTAAAGGTGTATAGATACCTTTGCTTTTAAGTTATGCGGGGGGAGGGGGCCAGCACAGAAAAAAAAAATTACCTGTTACTCACAATTTTTGATTGAAGACAATTTGTTAAATTTCTTCTGCGTGCGATTCAATAAATTTTTTTCTTAGATCAAGTTATATTATAAGGTAAAGAAATCACGAGTAGACTATAACACCTGCTGATGACACTAATATTGCGTTGAATATATTTATATAATGGAGGTTTCATTATGCACGCGCACATTACAGATTCCGTTAAATAAATACTAAGGCACGTTTTAGTTTAATGACAGTCTCTATTTTTAATTAATGATTATGTATTTTTCTTTATAAAACAAGACAAACTAGTATATAAAAACCTTTTATATTTCTATTCTCTCTAAGTTGTTTAAAGTTTGAATATGGATTGTATTTTGAAGGACAAAAGATTTCCTTTAAAAACTTTTAAATCTTGGGACTTTGCCAATGCGATGATCACAGAAAAAGAGAAGACTTACGTTGTTAAAATCAAATGTAAGTTATGTGATCTTCATCAAAATAAAATATAATCCTAAAACAATTGTGCCGTAAGGGCACAATTGTTTTAGGATTATATTTTGATATATAAATAAAAATAAAAATATAGTTTAATAAATAAATTAAATTTGTTCTTAACACAGATTACCTCATATTTATTCTTTTTTTATTTTATTAAGTTAAATTGCTTACAAATGAAGAAAAAAAAGTGCTTTTTTTTTTTGTAGTTATACATAGAATGAAAATACTTTTGAGTTTGTTTATAAGTTAAGGAACTTAATTTTTAATAAACAAATTTTTTCGAAAGTTTATTATAAACAGATACGATTCAAATTATTAAATATACTTATATTATTTTAGTTGAGTATTTTTTTAAGTTTGCACGATTAAAGTTTTGCGGAGAAGTATTTGTTTTTTGTTTTAAGAATAATTAACAAAAGAGTTAGCATAGTTAAGACTTTTATATTTAATTTAATTGTTTTTTAATTTCCTAAAATTAAAAAAAAAAAGATTTAATCGTTAAAAACGATATTTCTCTATAGCTCTGTTTCTTTGTGATTTGTTTAAAATGTAAAACATTTTAAACTTACACTTTAAACAATAATTGTGATTTGTTTAAAATGTAACTTTAATTGTGATTTGTTTAAAATGTAAAACATTTTAAACTTACATTTTAAACAATAACATAAAAAATTTATGAATTAAATTCCTGGCGAACGCGTTCTAAACTATGTATCAAAAATATGCTAAAAGCAGACAAAACGTTTTTATATTTTTATATAACGCAAGTTGAAACGCTAAGCAAGATAAATTTAAAAAAATATTCTTTCCTAAATTATTCTTTGCTAGTCAAAACAAAATGTTTAAATAATTAACATGGTTTTTGTTTATCAATGTTAATATTTTTTGTTTACTCCAGAAATTTTTAAAAATAAAAAAAAATCATTATTTTTTATTCAATAACGATTTATAAACAATAATTATTCAAAAACAAATTTCAGAAATAATTAAAACATATATATATATATATTTTTTACTAATTAATATTGAACTAAAATTAATAATAAGATAACAATTGAAAACATTACAAACTTTTTATTATAAATTTACATTTAAAACGTTTATAGTTATTTGAGTTAATTGTTAAATTGAACTAGTTAGCGGTTATTTATTTATTGCGGTAGTTAAAACACTTAACGTCTATAAAAAAAATAAAGATCATTTTATGACGTCAAATATCGCGTTAAGCTAATGTGTTAAGCACTTTTTTATTTAAAACAAGGCCTGTTGTTGCTATTATCAAGCTATTTTAAACTTTCTAAAGCAAAATCACTGTACAAGAAACAATACATATATATTGACATAATACAGTACTACTACTGTACAAGAAACAATACTTATATATTGACATAATACAGTACTACTACTAAGGATAAGGTGAGACCATTAGACCACTATTACTTAGTCTAATATCATCTAACTTGACTTTGTATACTCAAAAAAAAATTTAACAGGAGCTACAAAACTTGTTTGTACATAAAGAATTTAGATAAGTTCTTTACATTTAATTTTTTTTTTATATAAGTAAGTTTATGTAATAGTTTTCATTAGTAAGTTATATAATAGTTTTGAATAATTTAAATTTTTTTTAAATAAAACATTAAAAAAGTATTAAGGTCATACAGGCCTTGTTAAGAAGTGTTATTTTACATACGAAATGACAATTTCAATGTGTTAAGCCATTTACATTGCACTATAACTTTTTTCAATTAAAAAATCAGATTAAAATAGTTTATGCAGGAAAATAAGTAATTGTTGTAAAAAACATTTTCACCACAGTAGTGAAATATATATATTTTTTAGGTTAAAAAAAGTTTTTTAAAACAGATAAGATAAAGTTTATGAAAAGATGATTTTTCTAGTTTTGAAATTACTTTTTTTTTAAAAAAAAAAAAGTTTTTTCAAAATTATCAAGTTAGATTTATTACATTAGATTGATCTTAAAATGAATGCCAATTAGAAAAGTTTAATTTTATGAGTAGTAGGTGAAGATTTTGTTAAAGCCAAAATGTTAAAAAAAAAATTGTTGATGGATTTTTTTTTTTTTTTTTGACCATTAAGAAACTTACCAATAAACACTTGCCCTCTCATTTAAAAAATAACTAAATTGCAAAAAACATAAGATGATAATGCTTTTATTATGAATATTTTAAGAAATAAATAGGAAGTGAGAATTTTTTTTATAATAAATAGGAATGATAATTTTTTTTTTTTATAAACAACCTATTTAAATTTCAGTGATAACTTTTTTTTATAATAATATTGTTTAATATTAAAATATTTTATAAAGATTAAGACTTTAAATGATTTTTAATGTTAATTTAATTACGATGCGATACTATAAAACAAAAACTGATGTAATTTAACTTTTAATAATGTAAATGTGGATATTAAGTAAAGTTACATTTACTTGCATCATGTTTTTCCATTACACAAGGAAATTTCATAACAAGGCCTGCATATATTCATATTATCAACTGTTTATCAATTTTTAAAGCCCTTCTTAGACCTCTATTGATATGAACTAAAACACAGCTCAACTTAAAGGAACTTAAACATCTAAATTTTTATTTTTACTTAGTTTGACTAAATGAAAAAAACTAAGAAAAAAAAAAAGAAAATATTTTTTTATTTATATAATTATTATTTTTATTATTAATTCTATCATACTTAATAATGTGAGAACTGTTTTCTTCAAAAAAAATTTAGGTAAAAAAACAAAGTTAGATTGTTTATATCTGTTATGATATTCTATTGATTATTACATTCTGATTATGAATTTGGGTTTAGGCTCAATTTTATAAACTATTAAATGTCAAACTGAATAAAATAATAAATGCTTCATCATATAAAAAATATTGTGGTATGTATAATGTAGAAAGTGATAAAAAAAATTAAATGCAGAAAGTGAGGGTAAACAACTTAATCAAATATTGATGTTTTTTTTTTTCAACAATTTTCTCAAACAAATGTTGGCCACTGGTCAATAAAAACAGCAACTGCTTATTATTCATTACAATTAATTTAGAAGATAAAACTTGTTTAGTTTAGTAATAAAAATTGAATACTCTAAAACATTAAATAAAAAGTCAGATTATGATTCTAAATTTTCTCATTAAATTTATCTACTAATGATTTGACATTTATACATTTGACAATATTTATTATTTCTTTTATAGGAAAGCCCACAATACAATTCATTTAATTTTAACTAAACTATTCAAGACAACTTTAAAAAAACTTATTTAAAAAAAAAAGAGCCTATATCTCTGCTTTTTTTATAATTCAACTCACACACAGCAAAATTTTAATAAACTTTCAATATTTACGATCGGATTTTATAAAGTTAGCAAGAAAACAGAAAAAGTCAGTAAAAACAAAAGGAACAATTAGTTGTTGCTGACTCACCTTTTTTTTCCATCCATCCCTTTATTTCTTTAATTAGTAATAATTAAAGGAACAAAAAGATGGATGGGAAATTTTATCCAAATGTAATAAATGATAGAGGGGGAGGGGGTAGGGAGAGAGAGAAAAAAAGGAGGAAGGTAATATTTACCAACAGGTGAGTGGGATTTTTTTTTTTCCATATAAGTAAGATATAAATTATTTGAAGACGGGTCTCAAAAATTAGAAAATAATAAAAGAATTTTTTTTTTAGATTTGAGGAACAGATTTTTTGTTCATTACTAGTAAAATTTAACAAACCAGGGGAGAGGGTTTTAATAAGCTCAAGATGGGTGGAAAAATTTTTCAAAAATTAAGTGTATTAAGCACTTAAAAGTACCACTTTTTTTTTCCTTTGACTTTTTATAATTCCGTTTTTTGAGTAACAAATTTAAGCAAATTTGACCATGTTTTTTGGTGTAAAAAATACTTTTAAAGCAAAAAGTTTTTTTTTTTAATTTACAAAGTACAATAACTGTTATGAAAACAAAAATTATAACACTAAAAGAAAATTCTAATTAATCAGCAAAAAAAAAGCTGACCTTTTATTTCATGTGCTAGTTAGTCAAATTGACCTCCTACCTTTGAGAAAATATTTACAAAAAAACATTCTTTGTGAAACTTTTGATCAAACAAACAGTATTTAGAAGGTGCGCTAGACAATTTAAAACTAAAGAATTTTAAAAATTTGAGTCAAATCTTATTTTTGGAAATTTGCTAATTTCCTTGACACTATGAAGGTACAGCACTGTTTCCCAGTAGGCCTGTCACAACCACTTTCCAATTTTCCTTTTACTGAAAACAGAATATATACAATACAATGGAAATTTTCGAAAAATGTATTTATAATATATAAAAAACTTAAAACTTGCATCCAATTTTTATGTCAAAGCTAATAAATTTTCTTAGATTTGTCCTAAAGCATCCTCAGATAATTACATACAACTTGTAATAGATACTGCTTTCTGTTGTTTAATTTTTTGTATTCTTCAATTAATTTCACTCTTCTTTCAGCAATATTATTAAGAACTTTCATGTGTGTCACTACATTATATGCTTTCAAATAACTTTTATCTTGAAGCTGATCTGGTTCGCTCAAAAATGTTAAAGACAATCCAAGTATATTAAAGAAAGCTTTTGAGTTAGTGGTTACAAAATCATTAAGCTGTTTGTATATTGTAACAGAAAAATGACAAATTTCTTATTGTTTTCTTTCTTTCATAGCTGTTATTTTGAACTGAATTTTGACCATTTATATTTTATTTTTTTATTTTTATTCAGATTCACTGCCAACGGTAAGCGAAAGATACTATGACTCAAAATGAGGTTTTGATTTTTTTAAAAAACGAAGACCAGATATATTACTGATTTGAGGAGAAATGTAGGAGAGTGCTGCTACATCGATTGATCTATACCTGTCCTAACCCAAACCCTCAGCCGATGTAGCAGCATTCCCTTGCATGTTATCCCTAAATTAGTCAATATAGAAGCACTCTCCTACATTTCTCCCCAATTCAGTAATATATCTGGTCTTCGTTTTTAAAAAAATCAAAACCTCATTTTGAGTCATAGTATCTTTCGCTTACCACTGCCAACAAGGCTGCAAGCAACCATTATTAAGTTAGGAGTTACTAGTAAATAAAGTATAGAGTTAGAGAGCAAGAAAAAGGTGAGAACAAAAGACTTAAAAAGTTGTAGATTGTATAAGTCAGGAAAACATGAAGATGGGAAAGAGTTCCAAAGAGTTAAAAAGTACAGAAAAAAAACAAACTATAGGAATAAAGATTTTTAGAGCATGCAAGGACAGATAAATAATTCAATAATTATTAAACCATTTGCATTTGCATACACAATAAAGATTGTGCCCAGTTTTTCTTTCTATATAATGTCTTTCTTTATTGAGAACTTATTGAGAACTTTCTTTATTGAGAACTTTTTCTTTCGCTTTTCTTTATAAATTTCTATTTAATAAACAGTTTTTAAATAAATTTCTTCATCACATTTCAGGGAGGGTATATTTGCCTTGCGGGTATATTTGCCTTGAGGGTATATTTGCCTCACACCTCTAATACGCCATTAACAGTAAAAATTAATGCATATCCTCAGTTTTTTTGCAGACATTTGTGCAAAAACAAACTCCTAAAATATAAGGTTTTTTTTATTAATTGAAAGTTTTTAATCTTCAACAGCTAGCGCACTTCCTAAATATATTTTTTTTTACCTAAAATTTTGCACAGAGTGTTTTGATAACAAATTAGAACAAATAAAGGCTTTCCCAAAATTTCTAATAAATTTACAAACTATTAAAAAATATATGGGAATTACAGCTATGAAGATTGACTGAAAGATTAAGGATTATGTCTTAGAAATCTGATGAGTGACCTAATCTTCCAAGGTAAAATTCACAAAGGACATAACAACCAATTGCACAAAACCATTACACACAAACTAATTTTATGTGAGAAATCAGTAATTCCATCACTAAGCAGCTCATTTAATCATGTTTACCAATAAATTCCTCTTTTTTTTTTAAACTAAATTGTAAAGAATTAAAAGAAACTAAGTTTGCAAACAATAGAACAAGAAACAATCATTAAATTTAAAAACAAGTCAGTCAATAACTTTATTAGTCACAATCAGTTTGAAGACTTTTATATAGCAACATAATACTGTATTTTGTTTTTTTATAAAACAAATAATATATAGCTATAACTTTATGATATTATTATTATTACTATTATTAATATTGCTATTATTATTATTGCTATTATTATTATTATTATTATTATATTACTATTACTATATATTTAATAATTTGAGACCAAAAAAACCTTATTTCGACTCCATGTAGTCTACATTTGTCTGAACACCAAATTAAGCTATATAAAATAATGTATGTTTAAGATCAAGCATATACAGTAGCGTACAGCAGATAAAAAAATATGTTTACCAAAAGATATCAGTGTCAGTCCGAAGAACAACTTCATTTTTGTAAAGCAAACGGTGTAGTTCGTCCTATGAGATTTTAATACTGAATCAATCACAAGACTATGTCAATATAAAGACAACATATAAATCATATGACTAATTGCGCAAGCGTACCTCAGAAATGAAAACAAAAAATTTCCGTATTAATAACTTATGTTCCGACATTAGTCGTAGCCAGTAGGCACGGTACGTTTTTTAAACGTTCCGTAGCTTAAGGTTTAACCTAATAAAAAAGCCCTTAAACCGTTTTAAAAGTATTCCGTGCCCACTGGGTATTATTAACGGTTTGAGACTACTTCTGTTAACTGGAAGACAACTATATAAGTTTACTTTTTAACAAATACCGTATGTTATATTTATATAAATATAAATCTACAGTATGAACGTAAAGAAATATCAAAAACCTAAATTACAGAATGTTAAAAAGAAAATTTAACAAGGAATGACTTGATTCTGACATGCTTTGTTTGGAGAAGCAAAAAAAATATGTTGGTGGGGTAAGGGGGCATATACTAAAGTATTTGATATACTAATATAAAGAATTTATCAGAATATAGGTTTTTGTTCTGATACATCGTTTGTATAATATATAAAATATTTTATTTACTGAAAAGCTATTTCTTGAGAGACATTAATTATTGGTGGTTTGATTTATTAATTCCGTTTTTAAATCATAAAGGTCTAATATGAATGCAAATAAATAACCGAGCGTAAATAGGACTTTAGCCGTTTTGCACTTTGACACGGGATTTTTTTCTAGAAATAAAAATATTTTTTTCTTTGTCTTGTTGCTTTTGTTTGTTAAAAAAATAGAGTAAGGCAATATTTTATTTTAATTTGGTTCAAAGTACTCCAGTGGCTATTTGTTGTATTGTTTCGTTTTTAAATCATACGATTAGTTCCGTTTTATTTTTTGTTTCATTTTCTCCATAACAGCATTATTTACAACCTTCATCATAATGCGTATACAAAATTTCATCATAAATCGCATATAAAAACATTACAAATAGTCAATTAAGCATTAAGAAAGACAAATTAATCAAGTGTTAAACAAAGAGTCAACTTTTATCCCAAAACAAAGGTAATTTATTTGGTATCGAAAACTAAAAATATTTATGAAAAAAATTTTAAAAATTTAAAAATTCAAGTCTTAAAACTATTCTAAAATAATCTTTTATAGCTCCTTGGAGAGATAAAAGTACATTTTTTTATCATTATTATTATCTTCGCTTCCAACAAGGCTGCAAGCAACCACAAATTAGTGTTAAAAGTAACTGGAAGAGAAAAGATAAAGGTTGTAGAGCAAGATAACGATTGACAGATGACTTAAAAGATTGCAAATTATATGAATCAGGAAAGCAAGATGAAGAAAGCAAATTCCAAAGAACTGATGTTCGAGGAAAAAAACTAGACGAATAAGTTTTTGGAGCTCTTAGGAACAGTAACAGAAAAAGGATGAGAGTTAATTGAATGACGAGTAACACGAGAATGAATTTTAGTAGATGGCACAAGAGACGCTAGCTCTTTAGAGCAGTGCCCATTACAGTATTTGTAGAAAAGAGAAAGAGAAGCAACATTACGACAATGTGACAAGAGGTTGAAGGTTGGCTGCAAGAGCAGGTCCAACTATGTTTACAATACGTTTTTGCACCTTGTCTAAAAGAGAAAGGGCATCATTAGAAGATCCGCCCCAGATTTGGCAACAGTATTCCATACAAGGTCGGATTTGAGATTTATAGAGATGGAGAATAGAATCCAGAGTAAAAAAGTGTCAAGCTCAATAAAGAGATGCAACTTTAGCAGATGCTAATTTTGCAACGGATTTGATATAAGGTTTCCAAGAAATATCAGAAGTGAGAGTTAATCCTAGAAGATGAAGGGTAGATCACTCACATAGTACATTACCGTTCATAAATATACGAAGGTCTAAATTATTACGATAACGATTGGCTGAAAAAAATTGAGTTTTATCTGAATTAAAGTTCACCAGCCACTGTGAGCCCCATGCTGTAGCAGAAGTGAGATCCTTTTCAAGCTCAAATGCCCCCTGCAAGCAATCAGAGTGGGTTTGCTTCTTATCGTGACAAGAATAAATGGTTGTATCATCAGCGAAAAATGCCACCTTAGATGTGAGAATATCTGGAAGATCGTTAATGTAAATTAAAAAGAGTATAGGGCCAAGGATTGAACCTTGAGGAAACCCTGAGGTTACAGAATAAGAAGAAGAGAAGTGCTTTATAATAAAATAATATAATAGAATAAGAATAAGAGAAGTGCTTTATACTACGATTGGAAAAAAAGGATTCAATAATCTTAAAGATGTTTTCAGATACACCGTAAGAAGAAAGCTTATGGAGAAGACCAGCATGCCAAACTTTATCAAACGCTTTAGAAATGTCAAGAGCAATGGCCTTAACCTCTCCACCTTTATCTAATGCACAATAAAACCTATCAGTTATTACTGTTAGCAAATCAGCCGTAGAACGAGAAGATCGAAATCCATATTGATGATCAGAAAGTAGGTTATGAGATTCAAGATGAGAGATTAAGTGTTTGTTAATTAAAGGTTCAAAAACCTTGCTTATGATAGGAAGAAGACTAATGGGACGGTAATTAGCTGAATCGGATCGCTCTCCAGAATTTTTAAAAATAGGGATAACAGATGCTGCTTTCCAGCAGGCTGAAAAACAAGACTCTGATAAGCACTTGTTAAATAGTTTTGAAAGGATAGACGACAGCTCCGGAGAATACTTCTGCAAGACTATAACAGGTATGTTGTCTGGGTCGCAAGCTGTAGAAGAGTCTAAGCAGGAAATCACTTTAGATACAGAAGCTGGAGTGATATAGATGTCGAGCAATGGATCAACCTGTTTGACGGCTATATCAGGTAGAGCGCAACTAGTGGAGTCAAGAGATGATATTGATGATAAGTTCTTAGCTAACAATTCAGCTTTGCCTTTAGGTGAGGTGACAAAGTCTGAACCATACAAAAGAGGTGAAATTACAGACTTGCCCTTATTATTGATATTATTAAAGATTCTCAAGAAATTAGTCTGCAGTAAAGTTTTAAAAATATATTAGTATCATCGGAAAATATTTCAGAAGTTTCAGTAAGTTGGGCAAGATCGTTTATAAAATGAATAAAAAGGAGCCGGCTGAGAGCAGAACCTTGAGGAACACCACTAATAACATCAACCCAGACAAAACTAGTACTTAGAGTTTCCACGGTTTTTAATACCGGTATTAAAAACCGGTATTCAACTAAGTTTTTCCAATACCGAAACCGTTTACCAATACCGGTTTTTTACGGTTTTTAAAATTTTAATAATTTGAACTTAATAAAGATAGCAACTTGCGCTAGTGTAGGGAAGAGTTGCCCTAATTGAAACACCTAAGGAGTAAATATTTATTACCCAAAGATGGCCTAATTATGAAAATATTTATGATTTGATTAATACAAACAGACATCCCTACTATACTTTTAACCACAATTTGATTTAATTGATTGCACTGTTATTGGAATTAAATTCGTTTTTGCAAAGTTACCATTTTGTTCTAATGAAGGCAACTGGTTCCCTAAATTGGAAAACTTTGATTCCTTCATCAGAACAAGTTATTTTTTTAAAAGAAAAAGTTCAGTGAAATCAACAAAAATTTGTAAAAAACAATTTTTATCTTTACAGAGAAAATTTAAACAGTTAATTCAAAACTTTATATAGGATTAGTATTACCCTGACAAATTTAAAGTCTACAAAAAAAATTGTATAAACCCTCAACTGTTATAACGTTCTCTAAATTTATTGACTAAAAATTACTAAACAAAGTATTATTTTTAAGTTTTATGGTTGTTACTAAGTATTTTTTAATTGCAATCGAACTAATTTTACAACCCTTTGATTTTATTAATGGTTAGGTAAGGAAAACTTCAATGTTTCAATCAAGGAAACTTTCGACTGTTTTCTTATATCACTACAATAACATGCTTGCAGAAACTTATAAGATAAGTTTATATTGTTATTTTGCAATTATAAATCCCATCGAATTAAACACAAAACCCTATAACCTGTAGCACCATAGTTTATCCAGCGCAATCAAAATAGTGTGAACACAAAATTCTTTCATAAAATGCAAAGATTCGAGTACATCTGGTCTGATTACCTACCTGATTATATTTGATTACCCACATGAGAACTATCCATAGTATAATATTAAAAAATAAGAAGTTATATGAAACACCTGTTGCAGAAGTTCCAAATAAAAAAACAAATAAAAGTTGACAGATTCTCTAAACGTGAAACCTTGGCTGGATTGCCAGTGAATTTTGCCGCAAAGGAAGGTATGTTTTCAAGATCAATTACAAAATCCAATGCAATACGTGAGTTTATTCAGAAACGTGGTCTTAAATGCTAAAAAATCAAGCCACAGTCGCAAAACTAATGTCGTTTTACGAGATAAAAAAAAAACAAGAGCTATGTGATGAAATTTCTGTTTTAAAAAATGTGGTAAAAAGTTCAGCATAACAGTTAATGATTGGACTGAGATCTCCATTAAAAGGTATATAAATGTAACTCTTCACAATAAAGCTGCTTAAAAATTGGGTCTTGTTAAAATTATGATTATGTAAACGATTCCGAAAAACTTCTTTTTAATCTTACTACGAAAGAAGATAACGATTCAGATTCAGATTATAATGACGATGATTATCTTACGAGATTGAATCGCAGCGACATTTTTAACGAGATCATAGAGAGAACTACTCATAGAAGCAACAAGAGAATATTTTGAGATGACATCAAGTCTCTATTGAATATTTCACGTAACCTGGTTAAACTTTTTTAATTGTCAAGGTTTGTAGCTTTATATTGCAAAAGCATGTTTCCAAACAAGAAAATAAAAAACTGATGCTAAAACTTGACATTAAAACTTGGTAGAACTCTTTGGTTCCCATGATTGAAAGGTTGGTAAAATTAAAACCATGCATTCAAAAAGCAGTTTTGAACATTGAAAGAAATAGTTTTTATGAGCAAGTTGTTTTTAAAGTTTTATTAGATATTTTAAAAGTGTTAAAACCTAGTGAATTGGCTGTTAAGTAGCTAAGTAAGGGTAGTTCAAATATTTTG